AGGAAAGAGGAGGGGTGTGGCTTTATGGTACATTGAATAAAATTGATGTAGTCATCATTCGATTTGTGATTTTACGAGATAACTGATTGTTGCGTTTTTTATACGCCCTGTATTATGTAGCGTAGAGAAGATGTGCTATTTGATAGAAGGAACAAAACTGATTAGTTTTAATGATATATATAAATGAGTGACTTTATTTCACGGAAATCATAACATCGAGGTTACATATAGCATACAATTATACTTTTCATCTTCATCGTATGTACTATACTATATCTAGTATATGCATGTCTATTGTATGATGGTTTCACAATAATTTTTCATTTTTATTATTCCAAGGATGTAATGAATACTATATAATTTATACACTTTATTTCTCAGTTAAATATATTACACATCAATTGCTATTCAATATTGCAAAGAGCATTCGAGTGAATCATGTCTGTAAATACCTTACTCTGGTTGGGATGTTAATTGAATTGAAGGGGATGTAGGGGCATTTACATTTCTCTCTGGACCATTGATGGGTAGGTCTGCACGTATTGAGCACATAGGAAAAATATACTGTTTTAACATGCTTGGTGGTTGTTGTCTTTAGATTATGATTACTTCTTAATATCATTATCAACGTTTCATTTTGTCCCAAATGGGGATCTTGAAGCTATTTGGAATCTGGAAATGAGCTTTAAGCTAAGTTCACACCAACGTGACTTTGATGGCGCTTTGAAGCGGCGTACAAAGCCCCTCTGCACGGCGTTTTAAAGCGCCATCAAAGCACCGTTGGTGTGAACTTAGCATTACAGGGAAAGTGAAAGTCAGATTTCAGGGGTCATATCATTATAGGTATAATTTATTCTAGGTATAATTGATAAATCTATAGTTTCAAAGCTATTCTCGGGCTTCATCATCTGGCCTGTTGATTTAAGTGGATGTTGCATCAGTTGAGCCATGGGCAAATGGGAGATCATTATGATTATTCCTCATATTGTTCCATTCTTCAAGATATGACCAGCGTGCATTTGATGCATATAGTTCCCATAATATCGGCCAAACATCATTTATGACTGAGAAACAGTTGCAAAATAATGTCAACATCGAACATCAGGGAGAGTAGAGGGTAGCAAGGGCAAGATCTCACCCAGATCAATGTGAGAAGAAGTACATTGTAAGGTGACAGGCTATGTCGCATACCAAAAGTTCTAGGCAGAAAGTTAGCAACCATCTCATGAAATGTATCATCTGAAAATGTGACTGAAAAATAGCTAAGAGTAGGTGCTCAGGAAAGGTCACTGAACAAGATATTTTGACTTTTTCAGAAAATGTGCCTAATATGTTGCTCTAAATGATACAATTTAAAACAAGGCATTAACATGACAAAATGTCACCACCTAGTTGCTCACAATATTATGAGTTCAAACTTAATATAAGTCAGATTTGAATTTCTGAGAACTTGTAAAGTCAAATTTGAACTTCTGAAAAGATGTAGATGATTTTGAAAAAAAAATTTGGTCAATTTGAAGCAAGTTGAAAACAGACCTTTTTGACCTTTTTTGACCTTGAGAAGGTCATTAAAGGTCAAATGTCAAATCTAAAGTCAGATTTGAATTTCTGAGAACATGTAGATGATTTTGGAAAAAAAATTAGTCAATTTGAAGCAAGTTGAAAAAATACCTTTTTGACCTTTTTTGACCTTGAGAAGGTCAAATGTCAAATATAAAGTCAAATCTAAAGTCATATTTGAATTTCTGAGAACATGTAGAATGTAGATGATTTTGAAAAAAAATTAAGTCAATTTGAAGCAAGATGAAAAAATACCTTTTTGACCTTTTTTGACATTGAGAAGGTCATTGAAGGTCAAATGTCAAATCTAAAGTCAGATTTGAATTTCTGAGAACATGTAGATGATTTTGAAAAAAATTTTTAGTCAATTTGAAGCAAGTTGAAAACAGACCTTTTTGGACCTTGAGAAGGTCAAATGTCAAATCTAAAGTCAGATTTGAATTTCTGAGAACATGTAGATGATTTTGAAAATTTTTTTTAGTCAATTTGAAGCAAGTTGAAAAAAGACCTTTTTGACCTTTTTTGACTTTGAGAAGGTCATTGAAGGTCAAATGTCAAATCTTAAGTCAAATCTAAAGTCAGATTTGAATTTCTGAGAACACGAAGATGATTTTGAAAATTTTTTTTAGTCAATTTGAAGCAAGTTGAAAACAGACCTTTTTGACCTTGAGAAGGTCATTGAAGGTCAAATGTCAAATCTTAAGTCAAATCTTAAGTCAGATTTGAATTTCTGAGAACACGTAGATGATTTTGAAAAAAAAATTTAGTCAATTTGAAGCAAGTTGAAAACAGACCTTTTTTGACCTTGAGAAGGTCATTGAAGGTCAAATGTCAAATCTAAAGTCAGATTTGAATTTCTGAGAACATGTAGATGATTTTGAAAAAAAATTTAGTCAATTTGAAGCAAGTTGAAAAAAGACCTTTTTGACCTTTTTTGACTTTGAGAAGGTCATTGAAGGTCAAATGTCAAATCTTAAGTCAAATCTAAAGTCAGATTTGAATTTCTGAGAACACGTAGATGATTTTGAAAATTTTTTTTAGTCAATTTGAAGCAAGTTGAAAACAGACCTTTTTGACCTTTTTTGACCTTGAGAAGGTCAAATGTCAAATCTTAAGTCAAATCTTAAGTCAGATTTGAATTTCTGAGAACACGTAGATGATTTTGAAAAAAAAATTTAGTCAATTTGAAGCAAGTTGAAAACAGACCTTTTTGACCTTTTTTGACCTTGAGAAGGTCATTGAAGGTCAAATGTCAAATCTAAAGTCAGATTTGAACTTCTGAGAACATGTAGATGATTTAGAAAAAAATTGAAGTCAGTCTAAACAGTATTTGTTAAGTTATAGGAAGTTGTAAGAAATTGTTACAGACGCCAACCGCCGGACGCCAACCACCAACCGCCGGACGCCAACCGCCGTCGCAAAAAAAAACGGAGACCATAACAATATGTCACCACTTTTGGTGGTGACATAAAAAATGATATCATTCTTAAAAAAAATTGAATTGAAAATCGATCTATTTTCCTTTTTACTACAGTCATTATTGTTTCAGACAATTTTTTAAAATTGCAAAGATTGTATTATGTAGAGCAATATATTGGACATATTGCGGTGCAACAGAGAGAGATGCTATGAGTATCAGAATGTCAAACTGCACTTAAATAAAATCTCAATTCTATCAATGAATATTTTCTGTTCACTGGACCTAATGACTTAAATATACATTACATACTATGCATACTACATAAATGTCTAAAACAAAATCAGTGATCCAAGTGAGTGAACAGCTCTGTATCTATATGGTATCTTCTCTATTATATTCAATGTCTAAAGAAATGAGTCAATTAGTAGCTGTAGGCACCCCAAGTTGAAATTTAGTGCTGCCTCCTATAAACCAGTGTTGAACTATCTGATGCCCATCGGTTAGATGCTAGACTGAGTAATAAGAATATTTATTGGTGCAGACCCACTTTTTAAAACATGTAACTACATTGAGATATTTATGCACTTGAGGATGATATATAAAAATACAGTTATGCACAGTTTTAAGCTAAGTTCACACTAACTGGGCTTTGATGGCGCTTCAATGCGGACACTTGGGAAAAATGTTATGGGTAACCCTTAGGTTTCACATAACTACCCATATTGTTACCCATAGCCCCCAAGTACCCATAAAGTAAGGGTAATTGATGCCGTATCCAACCTAAGTTTTTTGGTAATGACTTATAATGAGTAATAATGGGTAAATAATGGTTTTACGTTATGCCATTATGTGCAGGTTATTTGGAATTTATGTGTATGTTATGGGGACACATAATTTGCCCATAACCTACACATGACTTGCACATTGCTACAAATAACATGCACATAACCTGTACATAATGTACACATATTTTACCAGTCAGGGACATAGCCAGGGTCGATCAAGTCAAAAAAATATTTCTAAATTATTGAAAGGTGAATTTGTGCAAACACTGCCAAATTTAAAAAGTAAAGATTCTAATGTATAAGAAAGACATGAATTGTTAATATTCATAAAACATGTACTGCTTGTTTCAATGAAATTATACTGAAAGAAAGGTAATTGGTATCCAATCATCAGAAACACAACAGTTCAAAAGTTTAATGAGATTTTTTGAAATTATCTGAAATATATTCTATATCTCAATACACACCATTAAGTATTTAGGACTTTTTTACTTTACAATGCAAAACATGCACATATAATTTAGTTTGTTATCCTGGTCCTAACAATATAGAAATATATTGAACTGGTATAAATGATATGAAAATATTTGTCATATTGTTGAGCATTCTATTTAGAATAGTGTCTCCCCCTTCAGAAAAATATAAACAAAGCTGAAAATGTAGAGTACCCATACTTTATGGGTAACACATAATTAACACATTGTCACTAACCATGCTTAGCCCATAACATCTACTTATGTTAAATTATGAGTATATCATTGTTTTAACATGTAAGTTTTAACCATAACTATTGGTAATGGGTAACATTATGGGTAACACTATGGGTTATGTACATAAAAACCATAAATGACTAATGAATTACCATTATTATGGATAACACTATGGGTAATACCCATAACATTTTTCCTAAGGGGAGTGCAAAGCGGCTTTGCACGCCGCATTAAAGCGCCATCAAAGCGCCGTTGGTGTGAACTTAGCTTTATCAATATACTGTACACGCAGATAAAGTTCGGAATATAATGTTAAAATAATTTGCTTTTTTCCAAGCCCTTATGACTTGACCCCTGAAATCTGACTTTCACTTTCCCTGTAAAGCTCACTTTCAGATTACGAATAGCTTCAAGATCCCTACTACTCGGCTTTGCACGGCGCTTTAAAGCGCTATCAAAGCGCCTTTGGTGTGAACTTAGCCTTATGAACAGTCACATGCTGTCTTGGCCTATTTCTTTAAAGCAAAGCGCCGTTGGTGTGAACTTAGCTTTAAGATAAAATGGCTACAAGCGCATTGACATAGAACGTGTATCACATACATTTAGAATTCCGTAGGTTTTTTATAAGTTATCCTAATAGTGTTATATTATTTAACCACTCTTTGGTGATGTGTATAATCATATTAATTTGATTGTAGAATTGATGAGCTGTCGGAGTTGTTGTTCCCTCATGAGTCGATCCGTCAATATGACATTGCTATTTGGATCCACTGAAAATAAACACAAAATAACGTCTTGTTAGAAAGGTAAAGGATAGGATGTCCTTAAACTTACATTTTGTCAACTTGTTTAATTAAATCCTCGAATCTAAGGGGTTTTAAAATTTACGTGACCAAATTTCAGAGAAACTGGTCAACGTTTAGTTCCACTCCTACTGCAGTTTCTGACTGTATTCACTGCTCTGTTTATGATACTCTGAGAGTTACAGATATTTTTTAGTTAGATCCAAAGTTTTAGATTTTGGAATCAATGCCAAAAAAACATGATCCTCCAAATTGTAGAACATGGGTCTCAAACATGATTAAATTGATATTTTTGCATTTTCCAGTTTTTCATTAACATGGCGGCGAATACATGGCAGGAACTACCGTAGGGATTGAACTCAATGTTGGTCTCATACATTGGTCTTAAACACGAGGAAATTTACACTTTCTAGAGATGATTGTTAACAAATTTCGCTGGGTCTAAGTACAATAAATCAATCAGGTTTTGGCGCTCTGATACTACATGATCCATGCCATTTCTCGTTGATAGAACGATTACTCAGAACAACACTTAATTTAGCACATTCGTAACGTTATCACGGTGTTATAGCATGACGGTTACGTCATGGCGATTCGCAAAATTTTGCGGTAACGATAATAAAAAATGGCGGATGGGAAAGGCAGTGTGTTCTCTTTCTCGCCTGTAGGCAATATTCACAGATAAGATTTCCTTTTAAATTAGTTCCATTCGGTGACGTATATATGGATGGTTATAAAGACTGGGTCAAATCTGCCAAGTGGTCAACAAGAAACAGAATATAAGCTGTAAACCTACAGTGTACTGACTGAGATATCCAAGTTTATAATTTTTGGTCCATTCTCGTGTTTTCTCAGTACTTGTGCCGGAGAGCCACTTAAAATATGAACTGTAAGTTATATTAAAGTTCCTTTTAAAAATAGCATTATTAGCTTATTATTTTTTCTTATTGATTAGGTATGTCAGAGGTGACACAATAGTTAAATCAAAAATATGAAAGGCAACATGTTAAAATCAATTTTATATCAAAATAAGTGGATCATCATACCTGTCGCGGCTTATATTAATAAAACGACACAAACCTTAGAGAATATAAAAACAACTGCTAGTTACCAAATATAAAAAGTGTAATTATCATTTTGACTATTATTTTAGAGAAACCTACCTCATCAAACCTTTCCTTGCCTTCATTATTCCCGATGGCAAATCGATCTACAATAAATCGATGTAGATATTGTTTACATACATTTATAATACAATGACATTCTTTAATAAAATGTATTCCATGTGATACCGATTTAACAAACTTCCTCTTATACTTACTATAAAGGGTGGTGACTTTAGAAGAACAAAGGATAAAATCAGCTAAACTTCCTCTTATACTTACTATAAAGGGTGGTGACTTTAGAAGAACAAAGGATAAAATCAGCTAAACTTCCTCTTATACTTACTATAAAGGGTGGTGACTTTGGAAGAACAGAGGATAAAATCAGCTACATCTACCAATCCTTCTTTGCCTCCATGCCTCAGTACAATGGATCTTAACGCTTTTTTACTCATTTTGAAACCTTCAAAAATAAGGAAGTAAATTGACGATTCTCCAACTAGTTGTACAAGTATGTACTTGTTTCATAATAGCCCATGGTATGAAATCTAAAAGGACGTCTAATAAAGGAGCTGGTAGCACACTATAGTGCAGCGATATTTGACCTAACATTATGTTCCCTAATAATTTTTAATATAACCATTTTATATACTTCCGGCTTTTAGGCTGGATTATCCCTGCCGTTAACAGAGGTCAAAAAATTACCAAAAAATAAAATCCCAATTTTTCACAATTTGGAGTACACAATGCAACAGATAATACTACAAAATGATATATATGATTGAGGTTTCTAAGCTATAATTTTGAGGTTATTTTTCTTTTCCAATACCAAAACATTATGTAATCAGTGTATCGACGTTTTGTATTGTTTCTCAGGTATGAATAAGAAAAGTGCTTCAAATGAATCACTTTATATTCGAATGACAAAAGCTAAAACTATGCTAGTTTTTCACAAAATGGGTCTCTTTACGCTTTTAGATATGTACTTTTATTCAGCGGTGAACATTATCAATAAAAGAGGGCCTATTTCTCTTCCTTGACTAGTTAGGACAATAGCTAAAATTCTATTTCTCGTAGTTGGATATAGCGCAGTTGCTTAAAAAACAACCATCAAGACTTGGTACCAATACCCATGATGCCATATATTTTCCATTTATATGGAAAAGGTTCGATTACCTTTCCAGAAAAGTTTCTTTTAAAAGTAGGTCAATATAGGTCAAGTCAAGGTCAACACGACCTAGGGGTTTAACTTGTTGACATTTTGTGATAAATTGACAATTTTCTTTCACAATAAATTTATTTTTGCCAAAAATGCTCGACTGCCTTAGAGGACAATATATTATCTTTCAAATAAAACTACAATCATGGTAAACTCTTTTTTAGAACTGAAGTTAAACACTAAAAGGTAGCAGGTATCACCAATTCCCATTGAAATCAATGTAATATGAAATCGAATAGTCTGCAATTTCAAGTTCACCTTGTTTTTGGCTTTAGCATAATATATGTCATATATAAGATGTACAACAAATGCCAATCAGTGATTTAGTATGCAGATATATGAATGACTTGGTATTATTTCAATATGATTTCGGGCTATGTTGTTGCCTAGCAACTATCTAGCAACGGCACAAACATCGAAATAGTGAAATTGGGGACAGGGAAGAAAAAAAAAATTATGTCTAACATTTGGAAACGGGTATCATCATAATTCTAATACCACAGAGTGCATAGACATTTGGGAATATGCAAAAAATCTAAAGGTATTGACAGAGTAGCTCTTGAAAACAATCCGTTTTCTCTCAAATTCGTGAAGAGGAACGCCGCTGCGTGGCGATTGACAGATTTTACCTTTAAAAATTCAAAACACAGTCAACAGTAGCTCAATTTTCACGAAATAAAGCACATTGGAACGTAAATTCAATATGCTAAACAATCATTTATCAAACAAACAGGATCTTAAGAGGTTCTGGACAAATCATTTGATTCTGGACTTGTCATATTTTTTTTTCAACGAAATCACATCCAAGGGTTGAATTTTTATTAGCTATTTAGAGAGTGAGTCCTGCCTAGTATTAATTTCAATAAAAAAGTTAAAATAGAACCCTATTTGAGAGTCAATCTAATACTTACATTACATTGATAAATTAAGGCAAATCCTGAAATATTTTTAAAGTGCATTTTTTATGAAATATTATCCAGCAAGTATTTAAATGAAACGGTCTTATTTAAATACAAATCATAACATGATATTTTTCATGAAACATTTTTCAATGAAATTCAATTGAAGGGTCAAGATAAAACGAGCTAATTTAGGTGAAAACCCTTACATGATGATGTGTTTTCATAACTTCTTTCATAAAATTCCATCAAGGGGTGAAGATAAAATGATCGAATTTAAGTGATTTAAGGATCACGAGAATATGTTTTCTTTGATATTTTCTATGAAATCACATCCAATGGTCAAGGTAAAATTTTGATTTTGATTTTGATTTGGTCACGTGTTCGAAAGATCCATATAAGGCCCATAGAACCATATAGGAACGTCATTTTGAATGTCACGTGATAGATCCATATAAGGCTTTTAGAACCATTTATGGAAAGATGAGGGGAAGCCCCTGACACCTGTTTCACGATTTTTATGCACTTCATTATTGTACCGAAGTTTGCCGATTCGATTCGTCGTATTTCGGAATCCTGGTGACAATTTTATACTCCATTGGAGTATTTTTGACCTACTTCTTATGACGGAAATTCCCGAACCTTGTTCGGATTAATCCGGATTTTCTGACCTACCTTATCTACCGAGATTTCACGAGTTAACATTCGTCTCATTCCGGAATCCTGGTGACAATTTTATACTCCATTGGAGTATTTTTGATCTACTTTTTCTGGATTTTGCCCTACTTATTATATCTTGACAACAAGCAAATCAAAAAGTTCGACATGAACGGGTCTCGATCAACTAACCTAGACTATGGAAGCCAGGCACGCTAACCATTAGGCCAAAGAGCTCCCGATATGAAAGAACAAAAGTATTATATATTTATACCGAGCGTCAATTCAAAATGATCCTCACTTTTGTCTCCACTTAAATACGACTCGTCAGTTGTATCCAGAATAGTAGAACGCCTATGGCGCTAGTGAATAACCAAGTCCCAGGTGAGTGGTTCGTATCCCTCCGTGATATACTATTTTTGTTTTATTAAATACGACAGAAAGGAGCAAGGTGTAGGTTGAAAACAAGACGTTAGTTTGTTTCAAAACAGTTTGGAAATATTAATCTCTGATAATTTAAGGTTCCTGAAGGGCCTCTAGATCTATGAAATCCAATAATCCACTCAGTAAAAATACGATTTCTCTGCAACCTGATGTCCAATCAAGATCATTCAAATATATATGTGTTCCTGACACGTTTGGGCGTCCGGGAATAAAATTGCTTGTGAAAACTATTTACAAAAGTGTTCCAGAGACCCTTATCTACTTGGCTAAGGTTTTATTTGAAGATACATTGCCTTATTAGCAGGTAGAGGGGCATACAGAACACAGAAGCAAATGCTTTGTTGAAAATTTTCTATATTTCAATTTGAACCTGTGTTTACATGTCACGTAGGCCAGTGTTTTATATGGGGATTATATGTACTTTCCTTGTTTACATGAACGTAAATCATTACATGAAATCTGCATTCTTCTGGGTTTAATCTGGGTTTGTATTGTCTTATTGGGGCTTTTCGACTTTAAAACAAACCCTACCTAAATGGATTGTGTCTCGGGAACGTTTTTGTAAATAGTTATTATAAACAATTCTGAAAGAATATCACATATTTTTGTCTTCCCGATTTCAGTCATGAATTGCGTCAATTTCTCGTGCAAACATTGGGTAGACGTTGTCATAACCGGATGCCCGAACGTGTCAGGAACATATAGATACTCGAATGATGTTGATTGAACATCAGGGTTGAGAGAAATCGTAATTTTACTGAGTGGCTTCACGAAAAAAATAAGCAGCACTTTAGGCCACCTAAATACAACTCGTCAGTTGTATCCAGTTGGAATCCCAGCGTAATGTTTTCAATTATATGGTTGTGCTTTGATTTTACGCTGAAAACATTTATAACTACGTCAACTTTATATTAAAACATTTATTATCTTTTCAGTTGTATTAAAATGTAAAATATGATATATGTCAGCTTATTGCTTTCTGGAGAACAGTCAAGGTTTAAATTTGGTACAATGAATCGGACACTCATGTAAATCGACATGGTTATAACATTGAACTCAATGCAGTAAATTAGTTATTTCTATGAATCACAGCGGGATTGGTTTCATTTTATATGATTGCCAACTCTGGCGGGTTTTTTGTAAATGCTTTTGACCGCTGTAAATGTGAAACTGATACAGTATTATTCAATTGTTTTATGTCTTGGTCACATTTGCTCCGATTTTCACTACGGCGCCCGGCCGATTGAGTATTGTGTTCAGAAATGTATTCAATTTTGAACAAAATACTCGCAGCAAATGTGATCCAGGCATTACACAGCGGTATTTCGAACATACTATTGTTGCTTAACCACGACCTAGCCAATTTTAAAATCATACTCCTTATTTAAATCCAAGTAAACGATCAATGTCTAGGTATTTGGCGTTTGATGATACTATGGCCCTTGGCGAATTATGATTAGATGAACCGAGGTCAACATTAATGTTTCTTGTACAAGGTCATCCCAAGGTCTAAGATAAATATTTAGGTATTTTACGTTTCAAGACCTTTGGACAAATTCGATTCAACGATGTATTAAAGTTAAAATGTATACAGAGATAAAATAGGTTATCTCCTATCGTTTCCTTGTGTATACGTTTATGTCTCTGCGTAATAACGCAGATGCGAGCAGGTAGTTACCAATCTCACCACAAGGTGGCTCGTTCGGGTCAGATAGCATGGCGGGTATGGTAGAAAGTTCCCTTTAACTTAAAGTACATCTGTTTTCGTGGTTCAATTTTCATATCACCCTTAAAATGTATCTAATAGCAATGCAATTAAAATATGTCCAGTGAACGAAAATGCAATACAAGAATAGATATTTCACTTTTTGTGATTTTGTAACAATTGGGTTATTTTTTGTATATGTAACATGGTCATTTTCACATTTTATATTATTACTGTTCATCTTAATCAATCCCTATTCATCTCAATATAACAGGTCCCTAAGTAGGTTGTTTGCAGGTTTACTCTTTTAATACCATGTTCACTTTTCACCTTGAGTTATTCAACTATGCAAACTGTGTCAGTTTTATATATCTATTGTTCCCCTATATGGTCTTTCTCACTCACATGTAGCTGAGTTTGCATTGGGTGTTGGCTTGTCAGTAGTTGCTGTAAGAGTTCATGTTGTACATTACAGAGCATTGTATTTTAAACATTGAATATACTATTTTATATATTTTTTAATTTGAAGTTCGAGTTATTTTATTGCCACCCACGGGCAGAGAATTTAGAGAATTTTCGTTATAAGTTGTTTCAAAAACTTATACGTATACTTTTAGTTTAAAGGGTCTTGTCGAACTAAAATCAATTCAAATTGATTTTCATAATCTGTACCAAGTGGGGCATAACTATTCCCGATATAGTCAAGCTTCATCATCAACTAGGGACTGCGAATACAATGTCCTTTGCTAGTGTCAATTATGAACACGATAAACTAAATTCTAGTTGACGGGTCCTTGTAGTGTACGATAAACAAGACCCTTTAAAGTGAATCACTACACGAACGAGTCGATCATTTCAAAGTTCTCATGAAATTATAAGGTCAATTTTTAAGTTTTTACGTATAAAAGGGCCTTTATACGCAGATTATAAACTTACAGAGTTGGATCTCCGCATAGTATATGTGTGGACCTACTGACCAGAATGGCTTATTAAAATTAATCGGGTGAATAGGCATAGTATCCAATCAAATAGCTCGACTCATTCATTAGCTGAACTAATTCTCCCTTCGTTATTTCTACAAGGTGATTCAAAACGATCATCTACAAAAAATATATTTGAGAGTAGATAAATCTGTAAAACCCGTGTGCTATATCAGCCTATTTGATTCTAGAAAACACATATGACACAACTAAACATGTTTTACATCAAGGGGGTACGGATGGTATGCCATTGGCCCTTTTTATTACCGTCCTAGGAGATATTTCCCGACGAATTAGGAAATTATGAAACACCTTGTTTATTGGGTTTATAAGTATAAGTATACGTATAAGTTTTTAAAAAACTTATAACGAAAATTCTCTAATAACGCCCCTCATACCTATTTATTACAGGTCGTGTAGACCATTGTTGCCTGATTTATAGCAAAAACATTGACTTTTGCACGTTGATGATGATGATGATGATGATGCGCCTTTTATAATAGATCTCATATCTTAGAAGCGTATCAGTTCAAAAAATACTAGAAGACCTTACATATTTTGCCATGCACTGCGCCTATTCATTTGGCAATTCAGTTGTAAATTTTATCTTGAAAGAAATAAATCTTCCAAATTTGTTGAGTTTTCTTGCAGAAATCGCCTACCCCCCCCCCCCTCCATCCATTTTATATGATCACAAGGCGTGATTTAAGCTGCTGATATTCTTCTTTAAACGAGTCGGATTTTCAAAATCTATAAGTTGGACTCCCTTTATAGAAGCTTTGAACTGAATTTGCACTGCTTAATGCTGAAATTTTATTGTTTATCCATACATTTTAAGAAAAAATGTATAAAAAAGATGTTAAAGCCAAATGTTGCCCTAAAAATTCAGAAAATGTAAAAAATTTCGAATTTTCTATGTACAGGCCTTGTTGCCCCTTTAAGAAGCTTAATATGTAAATTATCTAATCAAACACTTCGTCCACCATTTTGAAACACTAATCAATCCAATCTGTGCTAGCGATTCATAGGGCGAGCCAGTGGGATATTTCCAGGGTTCATACACACCTGGAAATGTCAGGGAAATTGACTTGATTTTCCAAGTGCTGGAAATGTCAGGTAATTTTAAAATTAAGTCAAAAGGGCCAAAGATGACCGGGAATTTTGAAACGGTAGACATGTCAGGGAAATGTCAGGGAAATTTGTATCAGTGTTGAAAAAATAATGTTCCAGAGATTAATGTTTCCAAACTGTTTTGAAACAAACTAACGTCTTGTTTTCAACCTACACCTTGCTCCTTTCTGTCGTATTTAATAAAACAAAAATAGTATATCACGGAGGGATTCGAACCACTCACCTGGGACTTGGTTATTCACTAGCGCCATAGGCGTTCTACTATTCTGGATACAATTGCAACTGACGAGTCGTATTTAAATGGAGACAAAAGTGAGGATCATTTTGAATTGACGCTCGGTATAAATATATAATACTTTTGTTCTTTCATATCGGTAGCTCGTTGGCCTCATGGTTAGCGTGCCTGGCTTCCATAGTCAAGGTTAGTTGATCGAGACCCGTGCGTTCATGTCGAACTTTTTGATTTGCTTGTTGTCAAGATATAATAAGTAGGGCAAAATCCAGAAAAAGTAGATCAAAAATACTCCAATGGAGTATAAAATTGTCACCAGGATTCCGGAATGAGACGAATGTTAACTCATGAAATCTCGGTAGATAAAGTAGGTCAGAAAATCCGGATTAATCCGAACAAGGTTCGGGAATTTCCGTCATAAGAAGTAGGTCAAAAATACTCCAATGGAGTATAAAATTGTCACCAGGATTCCGAAATACGACGAATCGAATCGACAAACTTCGGTACAATAATGAAGTGCATAAAAATCGTGAAACAGGTGTCAGGGGCTTCCCTCATCTTTCCATAAATGGTTCTAAAAGCCTTATATGGATCTATCACGTGACATTCAAAATGACGTTCCTATATGGTTCTATGGGCCTTATATGGATCTTTCGAACACGTGGCCAAATCAAAATCAAAATCAAAATTTTACCTTGACCATTGGATGGGATTTCATAGAAAATATCAAAGAAAACATATTCTCGTGATCCTTAAATCACTTAAATTCGATCATTTTATCTTCACCCCTTGATGGAATTTTATGAAAGAAGTTATGAAAACACATCATCATGTAAGGGTTTTCACCTAAATTAGCTCGTTTTATCTTGACCCTTCAATTGAATTTCATTGAAAAATGTTTCATGAAAAATATCATGTTATGATTTGTATTTAAATAAGACCGTTTCATTTAAATACTTGCTGGATAATATTTCATTAAAAAACGCACTTTAAAAATATTTCAGGATTTGCCTTAATTTATCAATGTAATGTAAGTATTAGACTGACTCTCAAATAGGGTTCTATTTTAACTTTTTTATTGAAATTAATACTATGCAGGACTCACTCTCTAAATAGCTAATAAAAATTCAACCCTTGGATGTGATTTCGTTGAAAAAAAAATATGACAAGTCCAGAATCAAATGATTTGTCCAGAACCTCTTAAGATCCTGTTAACAAAACAGTTATCATATTTTCATATTTTCCAGAGCATTTGAAACAAAGTGTATTATAGCTGTGGCTCAGGCTAAAAAAATAAAGGAGACGCAATTTTATTTTGACGGCAACACACGCATGATAGATGGATTAATTTTTTCTAAGGACAATGGTTTTAAGGACAATTGTTTAAATACGATGATGATCGGATATGTGATGTATACCTCAAATGAAACAATAATTAATAACCTTGCGTTTATTTACAGATATTTCGTAAAGGTGAATTACTTAATCAACTGATGTCACTATGGTTATAGTGACGTCATCGTGAGAGAACTACCTACATGTCGCAACGATTCCATGCCCCTGGGGTCTTGTTCAATTCTTACATATTGAGGTGAAGAATAAGATAATGACATTACCTATTGCTTTGAAGGCTTTTCTTATTTCTTTAACATCCATGTAGCCGGAATTGTCTTTGTCAAACTGCTCGAATACATTCTAAAATATAACAATATATAATTTAGTTAACGTAAATATATATACAAGGGGCGATCCAAATATTCTGATAAGAATACTCTCATTTTGTGATTTTTTCCACATATCCCTCTCAATTTTTCAGAACATATAGATTACATGTAATTACATATCTATATAGCTATATCTTGAACTAATTTTGAGACAAGGTTGCCATGGTAACCTGTATTTGGGGTAGGCAGGTCAGTTAAATTATAATCTATAAAATATAATTTGTCAATTCAATCGTTCCTCGGTACCTATTTTAAGCAGATCAAACGCAACTTCAGGTCATTGCCAACTATCCGATGAACTGTGCCATACCCCTTGTTGCCCTTGTGTGCTAATTTCGACAGTGGGATAATTCTCTCTTCATAAATTGCATTTCAAATTATCTTAGGCAGTGTTCTTATTTGTCCACAAGCTCCTGCAACCAGATTGTGGATGATCTTCAACAGTGACCCTGCCTTCCTTAAATTTACAATACAATCTATCTATAGATTCTTGGAGCAGATATTACACCTTGCCCATATACCCTACGAGTCCATGTATGTCCCTGATGGTGTTCTCTTACTTTTCTTGATAGTACATAAAATCTAATGGTACTCCTAATGTATCTGTTTATGTCACACTCTGCATCAGCCACAATAGCCTCATCTGACATTTTGATTTTTGGTGTATCTCATGACATGAAATGCCAATTGGCTCATTCTGTCATACATTGCTATTGTGAGCTCTGGTGATGTTATAGTGAGCACAAATGAATATTTGTTTAAAAAAACAAATAACAAACAACAATACCAAACTGTTTTAGAAAAAAATGTATGATTTTCGCATGCTTTAAAATGATTAAAATAACAAGTTATTATGATATTTTATAGGTAATAAGTTAATTGACCTGTCTACCCTTAATACAGGTTAACACTGTAACCTTATCTCTAAATTAATTTAAGATATAGCTATCTGAGCATTGTATGTGTAATTACAAAATCTATATTTTCTGAAAACATGAACATGAACAACATCACAAAATGAGAGCATTTTTATCAGAACGTATGGATCGCCCCTTGTATAGAGGGTGGGCCAAAAAACGCCACTTTTTTCAAGACACTATAACTTTTTTATTTTCCAACCTCCATACCTCAAACTTTGCAGTTATATTGTGCCAGTTTTTTTTAGTAATAATATAATGTGACATGTCCTTCAACTTGGATAATATTTTATCTAAAAGAGGAGTTCAATTGATCCGCCATCCTATTTGATGATAGATTTTAGTTTTAGTTGCCTTGCTGATATAGCAGTATCAATGGAATGTTAGCTAATTTTTTTCAACATGTCTTAATTGCCTGCTTTAGTTGAGCATTTTTTAGATTGGGTGCCTTCATACATCTCCTGGGGACCTTCCCATATCCTTTACCCACTGGGGTTTGAATCAGGGCTATTAGCTTGGCGGTCATCAGGCCATATCAGTTCAGGAACATTTTGCAAATTATGCTTATTTCTAATGGCACACCACATGTTTAAGTGAGACGCTGGAGACATATTTTATTCAAGTAAAAGTGTACAATTCATGATCCATGGCTAGATAAGAACTTCAAGTTTCCCCTCTAAATATTGGGTGCGGAGGAGCTCCATAAACGCACCTCCGCACCCAATATTTAGAGGGGGCTCATATCTGAAAAACATTTCCGAATTTTTGCACTACTATTTTCACAATTTTATTGATATTTGGTGTCAAATACACATATCTTGGTATATTTGAAGTCCAAAAACGGCTTAGTTTCAGAAATATCCCAATTTTAAATTCAAAAATGACCGTTAGCTCCGCACCCTCCGCTCATTTGCGCCGCACCCAATATTTCCCGCAGGCTCTGTCTGCATAGGGTGTTTTAGTAATCGAAAAACACAAATGTGAAAAGTTGAAATATATGTGCTTACCCGCCAGACTTTAACTTCTGTCCAAAGACGTTTTAATTCGTCGTACTCGAGGACGCCAGTCTGATCAACCGTTGATATAGTTAAGATTAAATATAAAAATTTGTGGTGGCAGAAGTATAAATAGTTTAAAAATGCGAATATGTAAACATCCCTTATGGTGTCATGCTTTTAACAAGTTTCATTGAAACAATAGTCAGTTTCATTAATTAAGTTTAGCACATTATACTGTATATCACAGGAACTGAATATCACAATTACTATAATCAGGGGGTTGAAACGAGTATTCTCGACGAGTAAATAATAACAATAAATATACTACAAAAACTAACATCTCAATCATTTATCAAAGATATGAGGAAGGTGCAGTTTTATTTTGTTGTCTCTGGACGTTTTTTTTCGATTCGATACTTCTCCATCTCCACACACGCAATTTCCGTTACAAGGACAAGTACGGGGAAACATTCAATCGTTACAAAGTGACATTCAAAATTAGCTATTTACTATAATGTTGGTATAATACCACAGGTTTATTTTCCAAAATTTAAGTTTTTGGTTAGCCCGACATCATTCTGAAAAACTAGGTGGGCGACTGTCAATTTTAAACAATCGAATGCTCCTCGATGTATTCGAAACATGATGAGTGTATTACCAGGTACAGAAACTCTAGGTCCACGTTTACCAAATAAAAGTACACCTCGAACGAACTATTCTAAGAGTTCTATTCTAGATCACCTTTTTTAGAAATTTCTCTACTGTGTATCGAAATCAAGAGTGCTAGCATAGTATTCAATAGACACGAGTATAATGAATCCTGTTGACACTTTTAAAAATTTCAAATGCTCCCACGTTCCTTAACATGAAACTCTAAAGCTGAACGTGTATCTGAAGTAGACCAGTACGCATTTAAAACTATGCATACTCGACACATTCCTATATTGATTCATTGTTTTCCGTTCATAGTTACAAGCTTAAACTTCGTATTGCCTATATTCCTTATATTTGTCATACGAAGTCACACATGTTATCAGAGTTTCATGATTTCAAGCTAAAATCAGAATTATACACTATGAGACAAATCAGTGTGACACTTAGTAGAACACTTATACATCGACCAAACATTTCAGCAAAAAGGATACATCGAGCATCGCAAGGAGACTCCGAGCAGCTTCCATCTCAAGGCCAACTGTTGAGTTGAAATCTTGAATAAAAAAATGTTTTTATAGAATGAATTTGAGTTTCAGTGGTATCTTAGAGGTCATTTCACTCTGATTTTCCATGACAGCGAATTTGTACATTTTTTATCCTGACAAATATTATTAATATATTATGAGAAAATTTCTATTTCTTTGGGAGAAATTTGGACTACTTTTAATTACATAGTTTGGGTTTACCATGATGACAGGTGACTGGTTACGAGATGTGCATGGACAGTTTAGAATTACAATTTTAAGAACGAAGTGAATGTTTTATACTATACAGTGCGTCTCAAAAAGACGCAACAAACAAAAATATCGTAATACCACAAATCTAGTGATAATTACATTGATTTCATTTAATTTACGATGAAGCCACATGTCTCCTCTTTCAAATGATATGTTATTTGTTCATATATGATCATGGACCACTAAATAATTATCATTGTTTCTTCGCACATGAGTGAAAATGCCTTTGTGCCAAGTTTGAAACATCTAATTCAACTGATCCTTATTATGCAATCAGGTAAATCAGTATGTAATTGGGGCTGAGGATTAACTTTTGGTCACAAGACTTACATGACATACATTTCAGACTTAATTAGTTCTACTAAGAAAAAATGATTTCACTTAATGTGTTCATCGGATTCCATGATAGTTTAGTTAAACAGCTCATCAAACAAATGGTAAAAAGAAGTGACATTATTAAAACAGTTAAGTCAGTTAAGGTCACTATTATTTTCTGTTATCTTATGAATAATACTGATGCAAACTACATCCCATGCGCCCATCATTTCTCTGTAAGTAGATATTGGATCATATCTTCATGTCATCCAGCGTTTTTTTTAATCATTTGTGGGTTCTGGCAGAGAGCAGCAACCTCATTGGTGATTCTCTGTGTCGTCGTGTACAATGTCTAAAACTGACCAAGGGCACGTGCAAAAGGAATGATTATTCGGTGGTCTATGGTCACATATTAATAAATGACATATCATTGGAAAGAAGAGACATGTGACTTCAAATATAGTTCGGAGTAGGGATACTAGCGGTTACCGTTGGTTATTTGGTTTCCTATATAAAAAAGCTTGTTCTACTTTTCTGGTCCGTCTCAGCGCCATCTAGCGTTTGTTAAATTAATCAAGGTTTATTCTCGATAGAGTAGGCTTAAGTACTAATCTATCAGGAAAGATTTACAAGTTTGGTTAGAAACAGAATTTTTTGAGATGGCGGAGTGATTTTCGAGACTATGTAGAGCAGAATAATTTTCTGAAACAGGTAGCTTTACATTGGAAGCTCTCTCCAGATTCAGTTATCTCAAAATCGGTGTGGTCACCGTATCATTATTTTGTTACAGCAAGCTAGACAAGACTCCAATGAACACGAGGCACTGTTTGCAATCTTTACCCTATTAGCAACAGGGTGGTGACAGTACTCGGGTCGGAAATAGGTTATTTTTGTAAAAACTCACTTTCTTAGCAATGTGTACCTTGCATCTCTAAGAAACATCAAATAATCAGAAGAATTAACCATTTAGATTTTCGGTGATTCAGCATTTTTCACTTTTTAACTAAAAATCACAGATTTTGACCATTTTTGGCCTGTATTTTGTTACAGGATATCGCAAGTGGGCTGTTAGTGCTGGTTTTGAGAGGTTGTTGACAGGCTTTTATGAAAGTATTATGAAATTTAAGGATTTAGCCATTATCTTAGCATGTAATACAGCTTTTTCCTTTGTGTTTGAATTTTTCTTGAAAATAAATGACAAAATTGACACGTTTAACCCCATAGAATGACTAAATATTACATGCATAAAACAGTTACTTACATGCATGTAATAACAACAAGAACATTACTATGCAAAAGTGATATTATTTTCCAATATAGAAGCTCGTTAACTGAAAATTAATCACTAAATGATGGATAGTTTGGCTTTATTTTTGATCGAAAATGACCAAATTTGACCATTTTTTGTTTCATGGTTCAGAGATTTTGGCAATAAACATAATGGAAGTACGAATAAACGTTTTGGCATGCTAAATATTGTGAATATTTGTGAAGCCATTGTGAGTAGCAGTATTTCTATTGCAAAAATGGTCAGATAAGAATAAAATTGCATGGCCCTAAAATAAATGACCCTGGGTTAACAAAGTAGCTATTAAAGCTTTTCTATTGGTGTGATCGGGCTTAAATTGAATAAAAAGTTTTGAAACACTCTAATGTTCAAGCAAAACAATCTTCCTAGTAAAAACCATTCAACCATGTCACGGCGAACTAAATTGAATCGATGTAGGTATCACTGGTTTTGTGATTTTGCAATGTTTTTGTTTGTAGCGTTTTTTGAGACACATTGTAGATCATTGGGTCGGGGCTATGGGTAAGGGGAATGTGGTCTGTGAAATTGTGTATTGTTTAGTAGATCATGAGGAAGGATTTCTCCTCGATAATTTGCCTTTCCCGTTTCTGAAATAAGCGTTTAAAATGTTATAAGTGCACAGAAACTGCTCTTTCTCTCTGTATTTACGATATATTTATACAAAATATTAGCATACTAAGAACCGTCTAACACATGAAATACAATAAAACGGAAATACTGGGATTCACAGTTTACTCCAAAAACAATTAAAGCTACAATATATCGGGTGTACATCCGAAAACAAACATTGGATATATTTACCCAGGTACAATTTTCAGACCAAAAGTATATTTTATGTACCTGTATAAAATGCTTCATTTAAGATAATCCTTAATTCCTTAGCATCGATTGCCTGGTCTTCTCCACAATGTCGACGGAACAACGAAAGCAACAAATCATGCTCTGGCTCTGGTGCCTAAAAGTTGTCATTTGTATTATATACTAATAACAGAATGTGTGGCCCATGACGTTGTTGACCCAGACATATTAAGATTAGTTGTTTCACAGACAAGGCTGTGCTGTTTAATTCCTTTCAATATTTATCATATACAAAAAAGATTGATGCAAACAACATTTTTAATTAACAAACAAGCACAACTGAGCAATTGCTTAAGGGAAAACAGTTACAGTAATTAATTAACACACTGAAGCAACAATATAAGTGTAGAAGCAAATATCTATGACGACAAAGAATGTGAAAGCAATATTCTAAAGATGCCTTAAAATAAATAAACACCTTGAAATAACCTTTTTTAAATTGCAAGCATATATTTTCTCTAATATCCGTAGTACAATCTGAAAAAATTGATCTTATTTTCTACGATTTTCTAAGAATATGTTCTCAAAACGCATGTTTTGTTCATTCAATATACTAAAGAATATAGGCGCTGTGCTTTGCAGAAATCGAAAGAATACACCATCCGCTTCATTCAAAATATATTCGAGATTACAAGACATTTGTTTAGTTAGATTAGAATTACCAATACGAGAGTATCCCGAAGGTAAATCATCGGTCAATGGTGTATGTCCCCATGTTAAGGATGCAGTACCAGGTCAGCGTAGAATAAGTTCCAGACATTAGATTTTGCTCATATTTTTTACAATGTATCACTATGATGTTATCACCATCCAAGTGCAATATGAAGAGGATTGACCGTCTGGTAATTACAAAATAAAATAATTATTTTTGAACAAAATACTCAATCCGCCGGGCGCCGTAGTGAAAATAGGAGCAAATGTGACCAAAATGTGACCGGGCGCCGGCCGATGGATCGGAACATATGTGACAAGGCAAAATACAGATCGTCGTGGATTTATCAAAGGAAGATTTTTATATTGACAAATCAATTTTACATTTCATCGGTAAAGTTTCAGGACCTTCTACTTGTGTTAAATGGAAAATTGATAATATCTAGATAGTATCTAGATTTACCTATCACGTATTTGCACAACGCATGGTCTTATGAAATGTACTGTAAATAAAACAAGTTAGTTTGGATTTAATTGCATAAGGATTTATATTGCTTAATGTTTATGCATCCTTTGAATAATCAGAAAGTTGCAATCTCAAAGTTTATAGAATTATTGTAAACTTTCTGACGAATTGTTCTATCTTCATGATTTAAATAAACTGAAATTTACAAAACTCCCCTATTTTAAAAAATAGACTCATCCACTTTATACTCCTGAGCTGCCATAGTTTTTTTTATTAGGGAAGCTTGTCGTAAACCTTTAACAAGGGCCTTGTGGAAGTAACTATTTTCATATAGACTAATAGCCATTATTCAATGCAGGAACCTCGCCCTCCAAAACTATATATTTTGTTTTAAACAGAATAACAACTGCTCATGAAGATTTGGGCAAGAGAGGCGTCTGCTAACTAGTTGTGGAGAAGGTATAATAATTAAGCTATTTGATCCCCGTACCTGTCGGCGTCAATATGAAAACAAAGCTAAGTAACGAACGCACGATGGGGCATGCATGATCATGTCCTTTAAATGAACTTGGTTTGCCACAATGCCCAATGTCAGGTTATAGTTTTACTTGATTCTATGGAGTTGTGAAAAAGTATGAGGCATATTTTAGATGAGTCAGATACCATTCAAACTGATATTTTTGTCAAGAGCAATTTTAAAACGAATAAACAATATCAAAAGACTAGTGGTAAGAAGAGTGCCTTTTTCTGTTATTAATATAGAAACGATGTTCATATCCTTGGTAAGAAATATGACGCGAACTAATATACATTGTAAATTAAATATCCATGTTCTTGTAAAAATGTCTTAAGAACATGAGAGAACTGTTTTCTAGTTATGCAAATAGATCTCAACGGAAAGCATATATCATATTTACTAAGAAACGTTCATACTCTTAGGTAATACCTTGCAAATGATGGGCTTGTCATATTGAAATTAAATGAAGTCCATATTCACTGGTGATCCACTCGATTACGCTGGTTACCAAAACGGTTCGTTTTGGTAACAAAATGTCGGAACATCCGGAAGATACGATTTTTCTCGTTTCCTTATTTTACACGTTGTAGGCAGAATTCCCACGACATTTTTTAACACAAACGTGTATCAGTATCCTATGTTTAAGAAAGTGTACATACTTGCGAACAAATAGTTCAGAAGACAACAGAATCGTCGATTTACTTCGTCACTTAAGTTACATAAACGGTTTGGGTTAAAAGTGCAGATCTTAACTGTTTTTCGAAAAACCGTTTATGTAACTTAAATGAGGAAGTAAATCGACGATTCTGTTGCCCTCTGAGCTATTTTTTCGCAAACATGTATATTTTCTAAAACATATGATACTGATGCACGTTGTGAGAAAAAACGTCGTGGGGATTCTGCCTACAACGCGTGAAATAAGGAAAAAAGAAAAATCGTGCCTTCGACGTTCCGACATTTTGTTACCAAAACGGTTCGTTTTGGTAACCAGCGTAATCGAGTGGATCACCAGTGATATTGCAACACCTTCAGCATGCTGTTGAACCGTGGTTGAACTCTGGTTCACAGGTGGTTTAGATGGTTCACAGGTGGTTTAGAGTTAGTAGGAACAAAGAATGCACTATGTTGGAGGTGTTTTTACAAAGAAAGCTAATTTTTTGCCCTATCAGTCAAAATTATATTCTCTGAAAAAATAAATTGAGATATCTTATCAAGTTGAGATATGTATAGGATATCCTATGATTTTGAGGAATATAATTTTTATCTACGAGGTGATATTGATATCTGCACGAGAGAGCGAAGCGAACGAGTGCATATATCAATATCACCGAGTAGATTAAAATGATATTCTGAAAAAATCATAGGATGTTCTTATTATCCTACACTAACAAGGAGTGTACTAAATGTATAATATCATTGCAAAATGAATTCCATGCCAAATAGAGTCAATTTGGCGGGAAATCAACAAGCGGAGTTTATCGTCACAATATCCTCCGCATATTGGGTTTTCCGGAGTATATCGTCACGATATCCTCCGCCCGGAGTATATCGTCACGATATCCTCCGGATATTCATTTTGCCAATAAATATCAAATTTATTTTTTAATGTTATTATACATTTAGTACACTAAGTGTAGGATAATATTTAAAATGCAGAAATGCACGACTACATTGTGACATTTGTTCACCCTCAAGTTCATCTCTATCCCTTATTTCGATTATAAAAAATATATAAATAGAATGAACCCCTTTATTGGTAAAGCAGAGTGAATGATTGCAAAGCGAAGCCCCGTTTACTATTGCGTGAATCATATCTTGTTCTTTAGTTCTAAGAGAGAACTTACAACAACAAAGCTTTCTAATTCTCCAGTTCTACTCACAAGTATCGGTTCTGTGACGTCATCGATTTCTCTTAAATTAATAAAGGTTTAATGTTTTGAGCACCGAATCCATTGCATTGTTTTTCACCCTATGTATAGTCTGTCACGTGACTTTATTAATGACGTGCGGGGAATGGTTCGCCAGTCCATCCATTTCAGGTTTATAATGATACTTTTTATATAGTTTTATACTGTGTGTCTCTTAGAAACGTTACCCGTACCATGAATGTCAATGACGATTTAATTCTCAAAATATATCATTTATGTGATTCCCGGTGTGAAGGAAATGATGGTCCCACAGGGATTATGGTACCCTTTCTGAACGGCCCTTACTGGCCCTGATTGCGTATAAGATAATGAGGGAAAGAGTTGTATTTAGGTCACCATATTGGAGAGTGGGACCATAATTTGATAGGACCTCCTACCCTTTTACACCGGTTAAAGAGAAATTCGCCATTTTGTGTCTCGGAAAATGATGTGTGGTGGAAAGACTCCCGAACCATTCCCCGTCACACTTATAGGATGAATATATCCCAAGTGAATTGTCCAAGGTTTATAAGGTCTCCTCACAAATGAACGAACATTTTAACACAGATTAGCGAAATTGTCAGTTTTGGCGATTGGCCATGGGAGCGTAAACATTCGAACCGATGCGCAACTTTGCGCATGCTTCCGAATCCGTCCAAAGCTTTCAGAAAGGGGACTCCCGCACGTAATCACCCCGACAATGTACATTACAACGAACATTTACTAATGGGAACGAATCTTCCCCAAGTCCTTTTCTCCGGTATACGCAAGTTGACGGATTGAACAACCCATGAGTGAAATATTTTACATACGGCAAAACAATTTATAAAACAAAACAAATCTCAGCTATAGGAAATCATGCCATATTGACATCCATCCAGTCTCTTAGTGGCGAATAATATAGTACTATGTATATAATTATCCTATCATACCATAATACATGAATGCATTATCATTTATATATCATGACGTTTTATTAATAGTAATCCAAAACTATTTCATTTTATCTCTCCGAGATTAATTAGATTTTTTATTTTTTAGATTTTCAAAAACAATTGAGGCTAAAATGAGGGATTTCAAATTGGCACGCTTCAATTGTAATGTCAAAATGTATTTAGTCATTTAACTTGTAAATATGTAAATATTAATAACCACTTTACTCTTCTTTAATATATGTTCTGTTACGTGATATACATGTATTTATTGTTTTGCTCTCCAATTCTCCAATTAAACGGAGGAAATAAAAGAAACATAAACATATTAGGATGGGTTCAGGTGCCAAAAACAGCTGATTCATGGATATATCATTTTAGAAATTGGAAGCGATAAAAAATGTTTGGAGGTCATGTTTTTTTTACTGTCATGACAGGAAATAGATTATCAAAATGAAAACTTAATTAACATCATTAATTCTGAATTTGGCATAGAATACTTACTCAGATATGTATTCCAATATTTTAAGCATGATTATTAACTCTTTTTTAACAATTGTAATGCTGTAGAAAAAATATTTTCAAAAATCTATATAAAACGATTACTCCTCATATTCAAGCTGAGGTCGTGACCAAGTGGTTAAAGCATCAGCCTGTAAATACACTTTTCCAGGTTCGAATCCCAGCCATGGTAAATCTTTTTATTTATTTTGTAGCCTGAGCCACAATATATTTTCTTAATCTCATTTTTATTTAACACAGTGTCATATTTATTACTTTTTGAGGTTTATAATAGAGGTAAAATGTCTGTATGTGGCTTTAAGTGGTGGTTGCAAATTAGGTGGTCATCCGGTTGATTTTACCCAAGTCCCATTCGCTCATACACGCAATTGACGTCCGGGGGTTATGTGCTATGTGTGAGGAGACCTGTAAACACTCACGCTACATTTGAAATGTTATACTTGATGCTAACACAATGATCAAAGACAATTTGGTAATAACTATTGGCGACATAGCTTATTTTTAGTATATATCCATGTATGATGGTTAAGATTTCGAATAAATTGGGTAGTGACGACATTCATTATGAGATGGTAAATTAAAAATAAGTTTATTAAATAAGCAATCACTTACTCTGTATATACGGAGGTTTCGGTAAAGACCCTGAGCATAAAATCACCGTTGGCCCCTGGTTTAAAAGTTGCGGGGATAATACAATACAGACCTGGCCGAAACCTAAACCTGTCACACGTCTCCCTATATTGTAGATATTTAGTGCACCTCCTTTTCATCATCATCGCCCGCTTGTCAAAATTGTGTCCATCTAAGGATTCTCGGACGTTGTCTTTAACCTATTCGAAATAAATGGCTTCATAATATAAGTGATTGATTGATTTTGTATAAATTGTCTCTAATGAGACCTAGATATCATATCAAATGCATGATAGTAATTTTAAATTTACTTGATCTTAATTAATTGTCTGTCCTATATTCAAACCCCTGGGGAATGTGCCCAAAATTTTGCAAATGCTACTGTCACATTTGCTATGGCGGCCATCCGCTTTATATATTACTATACGGTCAATATAATTTCGTGTGCCACCAGTTAATAACACTCTCCGTCTTTCTTTCTTTCTTTTTATATCTTTTATTATTTTTTTTTTACAGTAACCGCATGGTGGCCGTAGCTTCCAAAAATCGAGAGAAATACGCATTATAAGATATACATTCCCCTCCATAAGTTTGGCAACCTTAGCTCCCACATCGAACTACGTGTTAAAGCCTCTATATACGGTTTTACACGACCAGTGAAGAAATCATTTATAATACGGATGGAAATGTAATTTGACTTCATTTTCAATGCCTTCGAATTTCCCAAATTTTTCATTAATTTCAATAGGTCGGGAATTGATGATAAATCTGATAAAAATTTGAAAATCGTCATTTCAATGTAAACCAATGGAAATGGTGGGGTCGGGGCAAATCTTATTTCAGGATATCTTTACAGTAAAACAGTCACTCAAAATATTTTTATATAGAAAATTGAATTGTCTAACTTTTTTATACGCTTGGTGTTCAGTTTACTTTATGAATACTAACGTTACAGAGCTTCAAAGTCATTTTTGAAAATCATTTTTCGCCTCTTGTGTTATTTCAATGGGAGGAGTTTTTTGAACAATTATTATGAATTTGAACACCTATAACTTTAAACCTGGAGAAACGTATCAATCTTTTATTAGATAAAGTTGGCATATTCAATTCAACAAATTGGGAAAATGTGGAGGCATTTAAAATTAAGTCAAGTTACATTTCCATAAATATTATAAGTATTTTCCTCACAAGTTATGTAAATAAAAATTCAAACATAAAGAGGCTTGAACACGAAGATTAATGAGGGAGCTAAGGTTGCCAAACTCATGGAGGGGAGTGTAGGGATAAGCTGTACGGTGGAAACTTTCTATATCGATTCTGTAAAGATACGGCAGCCGTACTTGTACGGCCGCCGTAGATCAAACATGACTAAGGCTCTCGAGATACGATTTATGAATTTAAATTCAATTAAGAGCTTCAATAGTGTGTACACAATCTTATTAGAATATCCCTGAAATTTTCGATCCTTTAAATGGTTCGGCCGGAAACGCGTAGACAAGACATATCGTCACTCAAACGCAGGAAATGAGAAGTACTTTTAAGTATTATGTTGCATACATGCCCTTTCGCTGCTCTTTGTTCATTATTACACAACTAATTTACGTTGTCACAGACTAATTTCACTTGTTTATTTTAGTGTATCACTTAATTTAATTTCATTTATCTTAATTTCAACATTTCCATATCATATGTATTTCAAAAGGAAATCCTGAAAATATGTGACAAAATCCTGGAAATAAATGACAACCGATTAGCACAGGTAATAATTTCAAATGTTGTTTATATCACACTTTAAGATAGTAGGAATGGGGCCATTTTCCTCGGCAATATACCACTTCGCTGGAACATGTGATCAGCCATTCGTCGAATTCGATTGAAATGAATAATACTGTACTCGTCCAAAGTCACCAGGTAAAATATCTTATACGATTATACACCGGGTATGTACCAAGTGGCAGTTGAACGTACGGGGTAAGGTAGGAGGATGATGACCACTGTGATCATGGTCATACATGTAATATATGGGAGTAGGAAAACTGATTGAAGGTTAAGTCAGAACTCTGCTATCTTAGTTTAACAAATTCTAAAATCCACATGTTTTTTTTATTTCCTGTTTGGTGTAAATTTCTGATAACTACCCCGATACCTTAATGAGGGAAACTTGGCAAACTATCAAACAATGACAATGACAAATTCTCTTTTAGTCCATTTGTCATTTTCTTAACGTATGATGTTTTTCTGTGCAAATACTATCATTAGGGTTTATTGGAGTGATTTAGCTGGGTTGCCAAAAAATTAACGTTGGGGAAATTTTTTGTATCTATCACCATGGTAACATACCAGGTACATGGTGGTATCCCGACGCTAAGTCAATAGTCAACGCCGTGTTAAGCCAATGCACCCCTCCCTAATTAGCCATACTTTTTTCCCCAAACTAACTTTTTGTCCAACCCAGTTAAATCGCTTCAGAAAACCCTTGTTATTATAAATTAACCATAAAACATTGTGTTTTTAACAATTCATAGGTTCACTATAGTATGTATAGGGGTGACAAATGGACTATTTTGTGCCACACTGGTTTTTGATAGAGTGCCAAGTGTGCGTATAATACATCAAGAATGGACTACATTATGAAATAAAGAAACGTCGTTTGAATTGATAGATATGACTTGTCATATTTTACTACATCACAAAGCAATATTTATTAGGTCATGGATTTTAGTAATATAATAATGTAGTAATAGCTTTTCTGGATAAGCAACGTTTTCCAATTTAACATTTACATGTACATAGTATCTATACATGTTTCTCCTTTATATAAAGGCAATAAATATATTAGTTCAACAAGTTAAACCCAATACCACGGCTTTCATTTATAATCTGAGTGTTCTTGTTTCCGTGGTTGGGTTTAACTTCCGTGCTATGCTTTCATTGGTTGCAAATTCTCACTATCAGTTATTAATAAAGCTATAGGCCATCATTAAAAATGTTTGCATCGAAGGCCGAATAGGCACGGATGTTAAACCTAGGGCGGGCCACAAGAAATGTCAGATAAGAAATAAGGCCCAGACTAGGTTTAACTTATTGAACTTTAAATATATGAGCCAGGCCACATAAAAAGGGGTCTTATCACAGATTCTTTCAATATTCTGATTTTTTGTTTATCTTAAAAAGCACAAAGAAACCTTTCAAATGAGCCATGGCTTATGTTATAACAATTTTTCGGATCTGAATTTAGCACATTTCCTCTTAATCGTGGACACATTTTTGGCTCTGTAGCACAATTTTGATTTTTGTGACCGGTTTTCCTATGGCCAGGCTCATATACTAACGCAAATACAATAGGTGGCAGGTTTTGTTGGGAAACGCATTTCATATATCAAACTATCTTCAATAGTGAGAGAATTTGTTTTATCAAATCACCTTTAATTAATTGCTGATTGGATCTGGATAAATGAACTTGTCAGATGAGATAAATCTGTTGAATATCTATAATCATTTCCGTCTAGACAAATCACATGTTCGTGGATCCTGAAAGCAACACTCTCAGAATTGTTCCTTAGTCACTTCTGCATACTTCTTTGATTACCAATGTACAAACTTAAAAAATTACTAGTAAGAGGGAGATGAGATAATACTCCTATTCGCGATAAGAGTTCAGGTGGCAATTTACATAAATATCTCCCATGATGCATCGCTTTGGAAGGGACAAATTTTCATTGGCCCGCCGAACGAGTCTATACTCTGAACGTTTCTCAGCTTCTGATTTTCCATCAGTCCTCAAGCATAGTTATACGATCCAATCTATTGAATAATCAGATAGATAATCGGAGATTCGAAGTAACATCATTGATATTTTTTCGATCTTCGATGAAGTCTGAGCAATTTGGGAAATCAGTGACGTCACTGAAATTGGACGGCATTTTCAACTACAGATTTCTTCGGATTTGGGGATTACAGTTCAAAAAGCCTTGTAACATATCTTAATTACATACATACCTATCATTTCTGCAAATGCAACTCTACATAAATGTTTAATAAAGTCGCAGTGCGGCATTGAAAATAGCACCCCTGTGTAATCCAAAGGGAAAGAACCCGGATATAGACGATGTTGTACCGTACATGAGAGCTCTTCAAACGAGAGTTAACTAAACTGAACGAAACTAAACGTTATCGCGTATTGGTATATTCATTTCTGTAGGCTATATACCTCGTATATATAATATATATATTCGTTTCCTAATATTAATCTTGGTTCTTGCAAGTAACGCCTTTAAATTGTTTTTCCCTTGTCTCTTCTGCGTACTTGTTTAATTACAAATGATACAGAGTGAGCCAAAAACTAGCCCAAACAAATGTGAATAACTCACTGACAGACATTCAACATGCGTTTAATATCAAAAATACATAGTATCACAATTAAACCTTGTGTAATCTTCCTTTATTCTATAAGGTTCCAATGGTCTTTATCCAATGGTTACAATTATATGGCCATGTTTTAAAACAAATGCTACAAATGCCGAATCAGAAGAGAGTCCGAGCAGGAAATTGACCCGTTTCCATATAAATGGAAAAGTAGATGGCATCATGGATCACATTGGTAGGGCTTAATAACATGGCAACTGAATGGCAAGAGTCACTTAATTTCTTGATTTAACAAGTAATTCCATTTGGGTCAAATTAAAACACTATTGGAATGTAACTATATTATATAATTGACATGTGGATTGTGATTTCACATTAAAATTGTGATCCTTGTAAGAGTAAATGAACTATTAAAGGTTTTTCAACATTGTGTCAATGGAGATTTAGCCCGACCATTTTCAGAAAACTTGAAAATCTCAAGAATCATGCAGACCTCCTAAAATCTCATTAAAACGAGACTTTAACGAGATTTCAAACCTATATGGAAAAGCCTCTATTGAAACAAGATATTTGAAGGAATATGAGAGTCATTACACAATATCTGCAAGCCAGAAAAACTTCACCCGATGCCGCAAAGAATTATTCACAAATGGAGTTGTATAATTCTTGATTATTGTATGCAGAATATTGGCAATATGATATTCGCATCGACCGTTCATGGTGAAACGTGATCTTGTGAAAAGTAATAACAATAAGAACAATATTCATTTTCAAAGAATTTCTTTTTTTTCAGCTGACAAAAAAGCTCTTCGAAGTGGGTTTCTGAAGATTCGGCTATGTTTAAAAATACCCGGAAAATCTCACAATCTATTTCAAAACTCGCAAATACTGAGAAAAGTTTACAATTTATTTCAAAATTCGTGTGTTTCGTCATACTAAGAAAAATAATACACTCCCTTGAATGGGTATATTATCTGAGGGTAACCTCCACTTCTATTTGAAGTCCAATAAGTTATGAAGTAGAGCTCATGAAAACGTTGCTAAAATGCCATTTTCCTTTTGACCTTTTAATACCACCCCATAGCAATGTGATACAATAATACCTTTTCATTTACGTAATGTGATATTTCTGGCGGCATTAGTGAGACGTATAAGTATGGTAATTTTTCTGCAACAATAATATTAGAATATGTTGTCCGCTATGAGGGATACCCCACGGTTACTGGATCAGAGTCAACATTTATTTTATATTCCTTAAACGTACCAGGGGCGGATCTGGGAACCAACAGGGGGGGGCAAATTTCAGATCAGAGAAAAAAATGAAATTTTGAGGCCCATTTTCTTCAAAATTTGGCCTGAAATTAAAAAATAAGGCCTTAAAAGTCCCAGTAATGACCAAAAAGGACCACTTTTTGGGACCTTAAGGCCTGTTAATTTTTGTCTGGGCCCACCCAAGGAAATATTACTAAAATTAAGACAACTTACACACATTTCAATCTACATGTTTTTGTATATATCGAATGGAAATGGAATGCCCAATGCGCATCAGCGTTCAATTCAAAATTATTACATGTGAGTTTTTCTTCATATCATTTTTAACTATAAATATCATGAAAATGTGTATCGAACAATACGTGAAATCAATAGACAGTTCTACACAGGTAATGGAGTTCTGTAGGGTGTTTAGTACTATTTTAATACAATACTAAACGTTCCGTCTACTACTATAAATTACCATTTACGTAATATGTTGTTTTTGCCTTTTGCATAATGATATGCGCTAAACTCAGTGTGTCAGATCTATCAGATCATAGTGTGGGTTTTAATCTCTTGTGGGAGAATAAAATGTCAAAACACCATTATAGGTGATATTGTTCAATCAAATTTATCATACAAGATCAAGAGATATGATCCTCGAAGAATCCATCTTTTGTTAAGTGACATTAACTTAACTACTTGACTAGTACTGTCAAGAGTAATGTGAAATCTTAAAAATGGAATTTTATCACTATAAACAGTCCGCCATAGACAATGTGACAATGTTTTCATTATAAATTGATTTTAGCTTTGGAATAGGCACCATATATCTATGGTATACCATCAAAATATGTATGGGCAAATGCCAACAGAAAAGCAAAGTACTAAAATGTTTTACAAAGCAGAGGAAGAAAATTAAAAATCTAAAAATACAACAAGACCTTAAAGAAAACAAGTATTAAATACCCCAAACTGGGATGTAACGTGTAAAGAAACAATGTCCAATACACCCTATCCTACCATTTAAGAGCCTTTATCACAATTCATTACCGCAATGCCCTGTGATTTTCCATTCATACTAAGAACCATACCAATACATGTTGAAGAATTTATTTAATAAAATTGATAGCCAATACTCTCATCAAAATATTGCATACCAGAATCCTATGCAAAATTCTTGTTTTAGCCTTTGTTGGTTTCCAATAGTATTATTAAGCAACGTAATGCAATTTTTAGATACAAAATTGTATGTAAAATAATCAAATGCCATACATCACGGTCGATCATGGTTGACACAATGTCAAATATCACCAATCACATCTAATATCATGGTCAAACAAAGAATAAATAATCAAACATTAGCACTTTCGATATTAACCTGATTTAGATAAAGGAGCTAAAACGAAGTGGCATTCACTTTATCACAATTGTTTTACCATTTGTAAAATATAAACTGTTTGCAAGAAGAGCGTCCAGCCCTAGATATTTTAAGGATTGGGGTATGTCCTAATTTTCCCTGGTAAGTTCGGACCATGCTGGTAAAATTGAAAAGTCCATCATGCAGTTTCATTTATGAAACGTCACTACATATCTTTCTCTTGTTGTTGCTTTTGCTGTTATTTTCATGCATCGAATGCAATTGTAAATGCTTCACTTACAATGGAGTAGTTATTTGAAAATCGTATGTATACGTTTGTGTGTGTTGTATAAAAAAATTCTTAAAATATAAGTATTTAAAAAAGTTGTTTTGATGACCGCGGAATAGAAGAACGGTAACTAGGGACCATAAATTCACTTTATTACGATTGACTGGACTTTTTGATTAAATTGGGGAAATATATTTAAATCATTTGGGAATTGTTATTAGGCAACATCTTAGCGTCTGCATTTTATGTTAATTGGATGTTTTTTGACATATTTCCATCAAAACCTCAAATGATCAAATCAGGGAAGGTCGTTTCTGGGAGGACTTTCCTGAACAAAATATTGTTGTTGCATATAAATTACATTCGGGTAAAACATTACTCTGTGCCCAAACCCTGGTCGTTATAGGTGTCTGAACAAATATAAAGTGTTAATAACCTCATTTTTTTAAAGATAAATTCACAACATCGTTCGCTTTTAAGTCAAGCATTAGCAAAACCTCAAAGTTGGTGTTAGTTAGCCATCAGTTTCTTGGACTTTCCTGAACAAAATACTGTTACTGCAAAAACTACACTGTTTGTTCAGGAAAGTGCCTCCAAGAAACATTGCTTTTAGTTCAGTGTTTTGTGCCCAAATCCTAAGACGTGTCGCAAAAAGCTCGCGCACGCATTGTTACACATTTTGTGGCGTAATCCAGAGGATCTTCGCTTTTAACATGATAGAATGTGACGTTTTTGAGAAATATTGTACACACATGAAAATCCTTTCGTCCTCCACATTTACCTCTATATCTCAAAGCATTTTAGACGAACAACTCTGATATCATATATATATTGTTAATGGGCTAGGAGCATCATAAAACACGAATCAATTGATATTTTAGGTGAAATAAATATACGTGTTGCTGTGCTTGAAAATAGGCGAATGGCGTAAATTAGCCCTATTTTAATGAATTTTGAAAACCTTTCGTCCTCCACTTTTCCACATACAACAGAAAACACATACTTTTGTGAACAAAATCAACTATTTATCAATAAACTAGAGTTTAGGAGCAAAATAATCATGTATGATTTATTAAAAATTGATCTCGTATTTTTTGTTTAATGTACACCTGAAAAGTTGAAGGTACCAAAAAATGAGCAAAAAAGGTCGCTGTCAACAGATTCTATTTTTCAGACTCTATGACGTCACAATATGGGACGCTTACTAAAATTCATCCTTTGAAATAAAACTTCCATCTACCTTTATCAAGACGAAAAATAAGTATAATAGTCATATATTGTTTGAGTTATGAGCGTTTAAAGACGAAAAATAATTCAAAATGTAACGTGTCAACATGGGATATTTGCCAGATGTTTTGGTAAAAAACTATTTTTTAAAAACGAACGCGCAAAAAATGTGAACGAAGTGTAGTTGATCTAAAATCTTCATCGAAACAGCTTTAAAATGATATATAACTTTAATTAGAATATTATCTTATAATCCAGGGAATCAAAGTTACATTCACGCGATACCCTTAAAAAACAAATGCGCCACCTTTTTGCGACACGTCTAATCATATCCAGGTCCCTAACAAACATGAATTGCAAATAATTTCACTCTTCAACAAGTTAACTCACAACATCGGTCGCTATTCAATGGAGCATTTGCAAATCATCAAAGGAAGTAGTGCACTCTCCGTTATGATCTCCCCATGAAAAAAGTATCTAGTGCACCCTCCATTATGATCTCCACATGAATAAAAATAAATTCATCTGATTTTTAAAAATAAATATACTGCTTTTATTATTACATTTACTGGTATATGTATTCAGCACTGTATCGATGAATGGGCCACTTATTAGGGCCAATATTCAATCATAAAGTGTACAGGGGTAGAGATGCCAGACCAGGAAGTATTTTTGTGTCTGTCAAAATCCATTTGCATCCTACACATCCCTATATCTTATCCAAATATGTTATTAATTAATGAAACATAACAGTAAAATCTTTGGATTTACAAAGTTGTATGGCATTTCATAAGTGTAAACGTTGCTTTTGAAGCATTCTTCAATCCAATCCAATCCAAAAATGATTCATTTTGTTCATGGGGAAATCATAATGGAGAGTGCACTAGATCCTTTTGTAGTTATGAAATACCACCTGAACTGCCTTGTACATACCCTATATATGTCGAATCCAATTGCAAGGTTTGCATAGCTGACTCTCAAATGTGATCTCATCAGACGCCTGTGTTTTTGAGTGAGGGATATTATAAGGGTGCACTTTTTGTCATCATCATCTTCATCCGGGTCTTCTAGTCGAATCAGGTACTGGGGGTTATACCAATACATATCTGAAAGGATCATAAGTGTGAAACTCATTAACTTTTGGTTTACCTATCAAATTAATCCAATAAGTATATATATACTTATTAATTCGGAAAATGTACCGGGGTGTAATGACCTCAACCTAATGGATTATTAGAATGTCTTATATCAGATTCATACACGGGCTATGTGACATTGATTAAAGATGATATTAACCACTTATCCATCATGTCCCTTGTGTATTCAATATATGCAACATTTTGGTCAAATAACATCGTTTGTCATATTAGAAAAATTCAATTTGCAGTACGTGACTCTTCATTTAGAATATCAACTTTGATTTAGTTTTAGTTTTTTTTATATACATAAATTTATTCCTTTAGTAAACAATAATAGACATGCAATTGATTGCCATTTCTTTTAGTTGCGCTTGTATTTTTTCATCTCAATAAATAAATAAATCACGGGATTTTTGTTATCGTTAAATGATTACAGTGATTAGTTATAGTAACGCCACAATTTCTCGCTGAGCGTCAATAATATCATCATGTCAAACAAAGACGCCTGTGGATTATGAATGGACAAGTCATAATATTTATTCCAAGCCTCTAGATTTGCCAAAATCCAACTCAAGTTATGATATAGAATCCGAGCAACGACTTCACGAATGTGAAATATCGTCATTACTATTGTCATCCCATTTTTATTTTTGGATAAATATTAGCAACACAAATAAATTCATGGCGAAAGTAATATATAACGTTTCTGTTTTGTTTTTTTGTTTGTTTTTTATTCCTTTTTTAATTCATAGAAAAAACATTTGAAAGCAGTATAATATATGTGCACCAATAAGAATAGAAACTGGTCGGTATGAAAGGCTGCCAGTTGATGAAAGGGTGTGTCCCTTATGTGATATTGCAATTGAAAACGAAAGACATGTAATTCTGAACTGTTCTCGTTATGAAGACATCCGTTTAGACTTGTATGCAAACGTTTCTACTATTGTAACTGGTTTCATGAATTTAGATGAAGAGAGTAAATTTCAGTGTTTAATGTCTAATGACAGAATTTGTCTTTTCACAGCAAAAGCCTGTGACCGGATGCTTAAGCGACGGGAACATTTTATTTACAAAACCTGATTAATATGTTTTTACAAAAGTGTCTTATATGCCCATAGGGGGCCTAGGGTGATTTTAACAGTGTACTATTGTTTTAAATATGTAATTGTATTTTAACTCATGACACTATAATAAAATTAAAATAAATAAATAAAATAATATCATAGAAGTCACACAATTTCCATCGTATTCTTTTTTAAGGCATCTAACCACACTAGTCTAATTTAATCTAGTACCCATAATTTCCCACATTTTGGCTCTGCCCATTTGCTTATCAATATTACAATACGATATAACATTTGCTTTAAATCCTTTAAAGGTAGGTTTTAACATCGAGTATTTGCATAGGTACACATATCTTTTAAATATACTCTACATATTTGTCAGGATAATTGTTCTGCCATTTATACATACTGGTCCTAAAATATTCTGTTTTGTACAAAGTCCTGTCAATTCCTCTGGTAACCAGTTTTTAGTTCCATTATCACATTACAGTCATAGAGGAGATGACAAATTGACTCTGGTTCTACTTTACAAAAGGTACACAGATCCGATCCTGATAATCAACACATTTTCAAATATGTGTTGGTGGCCAAAAATCTATGAAGAATTTTAAAATTGAACGAAGCTAATTTTGGTTCAGAATTGCTGACCTTATTGATTCTATTGATCTTTTTCTGTCTGGTTTATAAAGAGGAGGAAAAGTCCCGGAGCTTTTGGATAACAGACGTAATTACGTATCGTGCTTGCATCCTTCGTCTGTTCGAATTTTTACCGGCTAGATTCCAGACTTCACTTCGATGTGATGTTTTAATTGATTTAGGCACATTCCGTACAACTTTCTTTATCTTGATGTGAAATAAGAAGCTGTGGTTTTGGTCAACACGTCAGAAATGAACATACTATTATTCGAAGCGTATTTCGGAAAGGATTGGTATCCATATGGCGAACTGAATTCAACATTGTTATTTCTCTTAATTAAATGCAAAAATTATTTAAATAGATTTTTAGAACTGTTTTTGTTAACATTTTTTGATTTTTAGTGCAATTGTTTTTTTGTTAATTTCTACCAATTCTTGATAATCAAAACCGAATCGTGTTGGAACAAAATAGCATACCATTTTCTACAAAATACACAAAATCTAGTTCTCAATATCATAGTTATTCAAAGGAAAAGTTGGTTGATTTTACAAAGTATTTTAACAAAAGAATAGATAAAAATTCAAGTAAACCTTCCATTTGATTTTTTCTATATTCTGATTTTTTGTCTATTTTAAAAAGCACAAAGAAACCTTTCAAATGAGCCATGGCTTATGTCCTAAGAATTTTTCCTTGCATATATAGACCAAAAAGTCGGATCTGAATTTAGCACATTTTCCTCTAATCGTGGGCACTTTTTTGGCTCTGTAGCACAATTTTAATTTTTGTGATAAGACCGGTTTTCCTATGGCCAGGCTCATATATATATTCAAATTAAACTGTTACCATTCTAAAGATGATCATTAGATTAACGATGTGTGAAATGTTCAGAATTTCTTAGTGAAATGTTCAGAATTTCTTGATGACTGGTTTAAGAACAAGAAAATGCAGCAAACTCCTCGAGTCGAGGTCTCCAAGTCAAACAAATGCCTGACCCTCTCATATATCTGTTGATTATCCTGTTTATAACTGATTCAAGAGCGTTGCACTGAACGAACCTAATGCCTATTTGTTATTTGTTTAGTTGTTGGTTGGGTAACATGCTTACGACGTCACAAATGATGCGAATAATCTTTAAACCAATCAGTGAAGTCTATATTGATTGTTTGTTTAGTTGTTGATGTGGCAATACGTGTCTGACGTCACAGGTGATTGCATCATATTCCAGTCACGCCATATTACGACATTGCATAATTTTAGCTGATTTTGGCTTCATTTCACTTTATTTGAAAGACTTTTAAAAATATAATAATGGGTCAGTATTTTTTCTTATAAATATTAATATTTGAATTTGAGTTCAAAGTAAGAAACTTTGATCAACTGATTGAAATCACGTTTTAAAGAGGTGAAGAAGTGAATAATTACAGGAGCAAACCTGATCAATGGTTCGAGGTCTCCCGCAAAGTAGTCGCTACGCTCCTACTTTGCGTTGCCTTCGGCAGAGGAGACCTCGAAACGAGGTCTCCCGCAAAGTAGTCGCTACGCTCCTACTTTGCGTTGCCTTCGGCAGAGGAGACCTCGAAAAAATATGTGTTCAATTCAGTTTGCCATTTCGATACCAATTCTTTTGAAGCCGCCATTGATTATGTCATTTGTTGGTCGATATTTGACCAATCAGAGATGGATGTCACCTCAATACAGGTTTATATTGTAAGTGTATGTCCTTTTTGAGCTCTGTGGTTATTCCCCTCTGGTGTGAGTTTGCCAATATGACACAACAGATACCGAGCCTGATACAGTCCCCAATGGTAGTAGGCTCAATAAAAATATGATATGATCGGACAACAAAAAAGCAGGACCAAAAATAGCCGCCCAAATCGCAGGAATCCATTTTGGTTTACCAGACACTTCTTACATGCCGTTTGCCAGTGCCACTTTGGAAAGTTAAAGATTGTGGTTATCTCGATGGCAAAAATCAGTTCAGAGTCAAATTTCTAAATTAATTTTTAATATTTCACGATGGTAGTTGAGTAACATAGCTCACGTGTGCATTATTTAATAGTTCACCTTATTGTATTGAAAGATAATAAAATGATATGCCAGGACACGGTCAATTTTTAATTAATTGTAGGGGACCACAAACGGTGAACTCCCCTATGTTGACAATCGAGGGATAAAGACGATATATTTCCAACATGATTATAAGGAACCATGTTGCTTAAGACAAACTCAGACAAACACGTACAACACGAGGAAATAACGTGACGCGGGCATTTGACCTTCATACACAAAATGATATGTCATAGGGAAAAACGGGGTAAGGTGGGACACTCGATTTTTCCCAAGCGTGTGTACAAAGATGACAGCGTTTGTCAATGACGTCATCAAAGCTCGTGGCGTCGTACACTATCTTGGGAAATGGAGCAACAGTGTCACGATTTAGGAGCAGCCAAAATTTAGATTTTTATTGTAATGAAATAAACCGTACACTTTTTTTTCACTTACAGAAGGCCTAGATGATTAGAAGAGTACTTACATTTTGAAGTATCAATTGGACGTAACCGAAAAGTTGTTTTTAACACTTCGCTCCTAAATTTTCAAGAATGGGGCAAATTCTTTTGGAATAATAAAAAACAAATATCAAAATAATAGCTCCTTTTAGAGACTTGAAAAATGTAACACTTCGATTTTTACCACAAATTCCATACATTTCAATTTTACTAACGTTCTGAGTGGATTTCCTGACCATTTTTCAAAAATCAAAAACATTTTAGAAATACTGTCCTCGCTTGTCGTTTTTGACGTTAAAAGTATATTTCACCATATACTGCCCATTGTTTTGTTTTGGTATTTTGACGCCATAATGTTACGCTAATTGTCCCCAGTTTCGTGCGACGTGTAAGTCCATTTCCTTGGCTTGACCGGAGAAGCAGATTAAACTTCTCACCTCATAGATATTTTTGATCGATATTCCTTCAAAATATGTTCGGCTTTGTTTGCTTTTATTGTATTCTACGGTACGGTTTTGTTTTTTGTCTTTATCAGCTGGAAGTTCAGTGTAGCGAAACGTTTTGTCGAGTTTCGTCTGCCATATTGGATTTTTACAAGTTCATGAAAACGATGTGCATGCTTCAAATTGATTTCTTATATTAACAGACGCGTGTTTTTATTTTAAAATTATAAATTGCGTTGATCACAGTATCATTTCCTGGTATTGATGATGATTTAAATCAGACATTTCTAAAATGCAAAGATTAACACTCGTTGGTGTAAACTAATCGCCATTGATTTTTCAGTAATAGTCATATCCTGAATGGAAATCTGGGGCGTTGGGATACTGGACCGTATCCCAACGCTGGCGTCATTTTCACTCTGTATCCAACGCTTAGCGGAAAGTGCGTGTGAATACAAGAACTATTTAAGTCACATGGACCATTTCAGATTGCAGGGAATTTCACCATCATGGAATAAAAAAATCATATTCGCAAGATTTAATGCAGACTGTGAACTCATTTTTGTGGGACAACCGTTTAGTAAAACACTGAAAACATCTCATTTTGCCCCGGTTTCCCCTACTTTGAGACCAAAGAGAAACCGACATGTTTTTCTTTGCGTCATAAACAAATCCAAAAGACAATATACAAAATCCTTTGAAGAGTACTAAAAATGGCAATGTTATCAGAATTTCATCACAACAAAGTGAGATGGCATATCTCTGTTTTGTCTAATACAACAATAATATTTACGATAAACCCAGTGCCTATTATTTTCGAATAAAGCAGTTTTTTCTTACATATCGAGGCTTCAAATCATTATATACTAATAATACTCACCCTCGTGTGGTGGATTACCGCAACCCCCTGACGATACACCTCGAACCCATGAGCCGTTGTGCTCTTTTACAGTCCAGTCCCGCTTTACCTTTAATAAAATAATTATTGCAACTTGATTGATGGGAATGGTTCATGGTTGGTGTAAGCCCACTCTAGATTTAATATCATCAACATGGATTTATTGTAAATTATCCAAATACATCACAATGTAAATAATGTTAATTAAAAAGTATGTATTATGCTTTTCGAAACACTTAATATTAATTCAACACAAATCTAATAATTGTGTATTGCGTGGGGAAGGATATTGCATACGTACGCATTTGATTTAGAACGTATTTGCTCGATGACGCCTCGTGACGTAAAACAAAGCGTTTCATACTGTATCATGTTCTGGTTAAAGAAGGGGTGCTATAGAAACGTAAACCAGATCCACCCTCGCAATCTTAAATACATGATCGTCCTTTAAATAGGAAAAAACAATTATTTTGGAAGAGATTGTGACAAGCCCACATTGTTTTTAATTATTTTCAAAAGTTCTTAGTCTCGAACAAAACGACTCTTGATATCCGTCTTCGTTCGCAAACATGATAACCCGTTAAGGTAATTAAATCGTCTAATGCGGTTTTTAATGTATATTGATTGCTATTCATCCGTATCAATTCGACGTTCATTCCTTTCAATTTCAAATCGAGATCTACAGTATTGCATTGTCTTTTTAACAATCCTTGTTGTTTTGCTCAGCGATGCCCTTCCGTACATTTTTTTCTTACAAATTGGGCAAGTGTTTTGATCTCGATAACAATTATTAACCCTACTATCACACCAAACTAGTTCTCACTACGTTCTCGAAAACGGGTTTAAACTGTACACGAACGGATTTGACGTACTAAGAACCCACTAAGAACCGTTTGGGATCTGTTTAAAAACTTCATGAAACTACTAGAACGAGTAGGTCCCCCAGCACTTAGAGCATGCTCAAAATTTTCTGGTGATCGTCAAAACGTTGCCGAATCGGTTTTAAACTGTGTGCGAACTGAGTGAACGTAGCTACAACGTTCTACGGTCTGTTTACGAACTTCATGGACTTTCCCGGATGGGGTATGTGATTTAGAATTTTGAATCGATTCAAAATTCGATGGCGACCATACCGTTCTGTAATCAGGTCATGATGACCTTCTAGACTAAGGGACGGTTTATACTACGTTGCACACCGACGTGGTGCGACCTGAACGAACTGCGAATGAGATGGACGTATTGAAGACTGTTTATGAACGAAGTAGCTAATTATTTTAGACATATATCCCGACCGCAGCCAGATTGAACCCGTTTTACGACATTTTCGTAGGACTGGCAAGAACGGGTAAGAACTAGTTTGGTGTGATAGAGGGGTTAGATACAAAAAGCTAAAGCCTGTCGGGGTGGTTAAGTGAAATATTTCCGGAAAGGGATATATTGTACTTAATCTATCGGAAAAAGGAAATATAAATCTGAGATACATGTTGGTATCACATTGGTCAAATTGTTCCTTTAACGTGACATTTTTCCCGTTACACAAGTTCCGTTGATCTCAGAAAAATCAATTCAACGTCAATCATTTCAACATTACGCATAATCTGGAACAAATCCTCAACGTTTTTGTTAATGAAAGCTTGTAATTATAAATATTTCGAGGAGCAAAGTGTTTTCTAAACGAACCAAATGAAATAGATAAATGAATCGGACCTGTTTCTATTTCCCTGAAGTGCATGTACAGGGTGAGCCAAAACATCAATACACATCAACCCTGTATATGCATAGGAATATGCTCATACTTTATCCCATGTAACAAGTCTTTGCCAGAACTAACCATAAAGCCAGCTATGGTTAGAATTAATGATTAATTTGCTTGTTCGATCATCAATTCAAGATTCGACGCGTCTGATAAAGTCATTGAAATTGTAAAGTCATTGGAACGTGGTGTGATACGAAATAGTAAGATAAAAGTGAAAGCATTATAGTAATATTTACCTTTGTTCTCCCGATGTATTAACCATCTCAAATATAAAACCTCACAAAAGTTGCTCTATGTTATGAATTGAAGTTATCTAAGATTCAAAGTACACAGGTTGCGTAAATTCTCCAAAAAAATAAATGTTATGAATTGGTGAAGTTATTTAACTCAAAGTGTGCAAGTTGAAACATGACTAGAAATGGCACGAGCAAAATTCGTAAATTGAGACAATTTTTGTCAAGGGTGCTAACTAGACCAAGTGCAACCTTCGTGGTTTATCAAACTTACAATATTAAGTTCACGGGAGTTCAAATCTGACCTAGTTTTGAGATTTGACCTTTACCTCTCTTTCAGTGACCTTCGAAAGGTCAAAATTTTACAATTTTACAAATTGATTTTAGGATTTAAACGTTGGGCAGCTTCATCAGAATATACCCACCGAGCTCTTAAAAGTAAAACTTTGAAGTTAAAGGACGACAAGGTCATCATACTAAGTCACAAACTGTGCTATCTAAGTTTCTCAAAGTTCGAGACTACAAATCAATATTAATTTTTGGGTTGAAAGTCAGAATTTACATTCCTCTAAAGGTTCTACACTTGTGAGCACCTGGCCGTGTGTCCTTCATATACATATGAGCCTGGCCATAGGAAAACCGGTCTTATCACAAAAATTAAAATTGTGCTACAGAGCCAAAAATGTGCCCAAGATTAAGATGAAAATGTGCTAAATTCAAATCCAACTTTTTGGTCCATATATGCAAGGGAAAATTGTTAAAACACAAGCCATGGTTCAATTGAAAGGTCTTTTGTGCTTTTTAAGATAAACAAAAAATCAGAATATTGAAAAAATTTGTGATAAGACCCCTTTTCCTGTGCCCTGGCTCATATATATAGTATGCTACGTGCGTTCGTCAGTATGGGTGTCATATAAATATTGTCATTTCAAAACCTGCTAATTGCCTTGGATCCATAATATTTAAAATGCTTACGTTGTCAATTGATTGGGCTCAATAATATGTTTCGTAACATATTGCTATTGGCGCATAGGTTTATTTCTAGATTATTTCAATAACAGAAAACATCCAAACACTTTTTTATATATCTAATTTGAGTGTGCGTCTCTCTAGGCAGGCAGATGGGCGCCACATAAATCTTGGTTACATCAAAACTGTTCATTTCCCTAAACTAACAATTTATAAAAGTGCTCATGTTGTTGATTGATTGGGTTCAAAAATCTGTTTTATAACACATTGGTTATCATGTCACCAACAAAAGTGGAGAAATATTGTTATGGACTCCATTTTGTGACGGCGGTTGGTGTCTGGCATTCGACGTCTGTAACAATGGCAGGTAGTGACATGTTGTATGTTAATGCCTTGTTTTTGGCTCACATTGTGAGCTTAATGGATCGACTAGGCGTCCGTCCGACTGTCCGTCAATATTGGCCGCACAAATTAAAATTATCCATAAATCTGAGATGATGGATCATTGGTCAAATTTTTCCATTAACATGACATTTTTTCCATTGCACGAGTTCCGATGATCTCTTAGAGAAAATATTCAACATTGATCATAATCTAATTTTATAGTACGATCTAATATATCCTTAAAGCCTTTGTAGTTGACCTTAACGTCAAAGCTTGTGAATATTTCATGACCAGGAGCAAAGTGTTTTCAAAACGAATCAGATGAATTAGATAAATGCATTGGACCTGATTCCCCGAAGTATATGCATAGGAATATCCATTTACCTTATTCCATGAAATAATTGTTTACCAGTACTAACCATGAAGTCAGCTATGGTTAGAATTAATGATCAATTTGCTTGTTCGATCATCAGTTCAAGATTCGACGCGTCTGATAACGTCATTGGAATTGTAAATTCATTGGAATGTGGTGTGATACGAAATAGTAAGATAAAATCGTAAGCATTATCTCTTTAAATAGTCACTTTTCACACAAATGATATGTTTAAACCTTCATTATATGAAATATTTATGAAGGCTCATTTGTCCACTGTCTGTTTAAGAAACATATCGGACAACATTGGACCATCAAAGGCATGATCAGAGCTATATGAGAGTGACAAAATTGCAAGTAACGTGTACTGACTACCGACCTATTCATCATCTCAAATATAAAACGACCTGAAAGATCCGCGCAGTGTTATGAATTGAAGTTATATAAGATTCAAAGTATACAAGTTGCGTAAATTCTCCCACACAATAAATGTGATAATAACATACAGTATGAAAAATTAACACATTATTTTAGAATCTTTATTTTTCTTCAAATGAAGTATGTGCACTATCGGGAGTTGTAAAGAGAAACATGACAAGGAATGACATGAGCCTAAAATATTCGTGAATTGAGACAATTCTTGTCAAAGTTGCTAGCTACAAGTGGATCTTGTGCCACATTTATTAGGCTATTAATTCTAACTAAACAAATCTATTTTCGTGTAGGCGCCTTCGTATCAAATCTTCTTCAATATGATTTGTTGTTGCCAAGACCAAGATAATTAAGAGAGTAATCTTGCAGTGTTTTTCACAACCTTAACGTGAACGGAAAATATTTAAGCGATGCAGTTGTATGGACGATTGGTCATACGTATAGGTTGGCGTTTCGACTTTTTTGCAAGCTTAAACTCGCTAATGAATGAATAAATTAGATCAAGAAAAACGATAATTTCGTAGATGAAATTACGACGCGCTATCATGAAGAAAGTTATCTACAATATGAAGCTTGCTCAAGTCCACTTGATTGAAGTGTTATTCATCTGCTTTAGTGACTTGACAAATTCATTAATACTTTATTCAAATACTACAGGTCTTCCTTCTTTATTTGTTGAAAACATAAATCATTTTGTGTCACACACTTTCCTTGCAAACAAATAAAATGAAAACTGTAATTAGGTTAGTGAGCAAAGGTACCCGATTTCAAATGAAAACATGTACAGGTGACCTATTTTGACATACCCAAATATAATATAACGCTAGCAGGCCCGTAGCCAGGCCAAAAATTCTTTCAAAATCATGCAGTTTTCCACCATTTTGAGCAAATCGCAAGTGATTTTATTTGGGCCATAATTGTCAAATGTGAAACCCCTGGACATTTTTGAAAAATGAACCACCCTTGGCAAATCCTGGCTATGGGCCTGGATAGTCATCCGAATTTGACAACGATAATCTATAATGCTCTTAACATCAACGATAAAAAAAAATTATATTGATATTAAAAAGGATAATTTTAAGGATATTTGATGAGTATTTGATATGTATTCACCCACTAAGATCATGCAATCTGGCCATCCTGCCCTAAGATTTTAAGCTGATTATCCTGTTGGGTATGAAGCGTTTATTGCATTGCGTTTTAGCAAGGTATTGTGGAGAATACAAAGGCAATGTGGATCTAATTCTGACGAACTTTATCCATTATTGAAATTGCATTAGGAGAAGAGATTGCCTCAATTAAGTCACCTTGTCCGTAGAAATAACACATTTTGGACATTTGTTCCTCTATGAAGTGGCCCTATTTCATGTTATTCGTCGTCTAATATTGAAAATTCATAAATTCAACCATTGTTTAGCATTTTGGACGTGGCGCATATTCCGGGGGAAATATAGACATTCAGAGAGTCCGGGAAGATATTTATAGGATATCCTATGATTTTGAGGAATATCATTTTTATCTACGAGGTGATATTGATATTTGCACGAGAGAGCGAAGCGAACGAGTGCATATATCAATATCACCGAGTAGATTAAAATGATATTCTGAAAAAAATCATTGGATGTTCTTATTATCCTACACTTACAAGGAGTGTACTGAATGTATAATATCATTGTTAAATGAATTTCATGCCAAATAGAGTCAATTTGGCGGGAAATCAACAAGCGGAGTATATCGTGACAATATCCTCCTCATATTGGGTTTTCCGGAGCATATCGTCACGATATCCTCCGCCCGGAGTATATCGTTACGATATCCTCCGGATATTCATTTTCCAATAAATATCAAATTTATTTTTTCATGTTATTATACATTTAGTACACTAAGTGTAGGATAAGATTTCATATCTCATGACATAAAGATGATAATTACCTTTGTTTTAAATGATTCTGGGGAAAGGTGGCAAATTTGCATCTCTGTGAAATTTTGAAACCAGTCGTCCATGGACATCCAAAATTCGCCATCTTCTTCAATGACCATTCCAAGTTCTTGTCGGACATGTCTCGGTACATCCTGACATTCGATAGAGCTGGAATTATATGTTTGGTATATCGATTCAATATAAACTTTGACCTCCCTAGCCTACATTTTTGATTTTCTTTTGAAAAAATGGCCCATTTGACTCATGAAAATACTGATGACACATCCACAGTTACAGCATATTTGTATATAAGAAGATAATCAAATATCCAATTGGCATTTTTATTTAGATTGTATGGGTATATCTAAGGTATTAACATTTATGGCATGAGTGAGTAGAGAAATATGTTCGGGAGCGAGGAAATAGTGCTGCGCGACTAAAGATTAAACGTTCGTGATGTGAGAATTGTGGTTCGAGTGCAAGGAACGTAGTTCGCAACGTCAGAATTGATGTTCGAGTTGATGGAAGTCTAGGAGGCCTGAATATGTAACCCGAACGCGCTAACATTTTCAACGTGTGTATCGTGACAGGTTACACATTTAGTTTCAATTTCTACTTTAAGGTAAGCTAAACTACTACAGCATCCCTCCTCCAATTTTAAGATGAATGTAAACAAGTCGTGAACGTTCATGTCAAGCGACTCTCACTTCGTCACAACAGGCAACATAATGAAATCGGGTAAAATGGATGAAGTTAAAGATCTAACTTAGGCAAAAAGAATTGTCTTGGGTTTTGGACGGTAGAATAATTCAAACATTACATCGAACATCAAAAAAGACAGGATATCAACTAATGGACTATATTATCGTGCTGAATAACATTGGATAATAAGAGTCGGAATGAATTTGTCAGGGAGCTCTTTAGCTGATTTATGGTTCAACATTATTATCCACCAAAATGTATTTATGTGTCTGTCTTGACAAATGAAATGACTATGAATTATTTGGGTACAGTCGGATTGACATATGTTTTAGATCTCTGAAAATAGTCAAACCCAATAGTGGTTCAATATTAACAAATGCATACATAGCATTATATATACCTGCAGAGGCGTAGCCAGCAATTTTCAAGGTGGTGACCAACAAAGAAGGGTACAGTGTTTCACTCCGGGATTTTTTAAAATGTACAATATTGTATAAAATGCATTCTAAGCATTAATCAAACCATGTTTTTTCAAGAAATTTTATAAAATCATAGTTTGGCTAGGAACTTTTGTGGTCTTCTCATACATGTCATCGATGATGCTACAAATAGTATCACAGATAATTTCACAAACATAGTTAACGTATACATAAAAATATTGGTCGAGACTTGAGATAATGTATGCAGTGTCATTCAAAATTGAAACTTCTGATTGGGTTCGAAGCCGAGATGCCCGGATATGACCGAGCAAAAGCCGGAATTCACGTGATTTTTCACGAAGAAGGGGCGGAGTTTAAGCGAGATTCATCGAGACTTCTTCTTCTTCGTGTCAATCACGTTAATCCCTGCATTGCTTATTGTAAACTCCACCTTTTTGCCCATATATGAAGATGCCAATTGCGAGAGTGAACTGTTCAGTCTACAAATTACTTTGGGTTTGGGCGTGATCATCTCTGTAAGGTTCTTAATATTGATATGAAAACATTATATTCATTTTTACAGTGCCACCATACCAATAACTATCTGTAACAGTTCCCATAACGATATTCTAAACACAGATTGGTCGATTAATTGATTTTTGAATTCCAAGTATTTGTTACATAAAACTACCAAGTTTTAATGACAAATATTTAAATATTTAGACTATCCTTGTAAATGTATGCAATGATCACCTCTTGCTGTTTATTGTTAAGCCTTGTCTTTAAAATCTAATTTGGGGTACTTTAGGGTCAGCAAATTGGCACTAATCCACTTTAATTCCTATATATCGTCATTGTAGAAATGGGACTAACTATAGGACTTACTTATCACTCCATGCGCCGTTCCATTCTGAAGCTCCCCATGGATTTCTTAGTCGAATCAATTGCATGTTTCTGCCATCTATTTTACCCTAAAATATACAATTACATGTACGTTACTGAATTTATCTCATCATCAATCGTTTTGGGTCATAAGCATACCATTGCTTTTACAGACTTATATACAGTATAATATAATATGAAATCAACTTCATGAGATATACCCTGGTTACAATATAGGCGATATAAATGAATTCGTAGCACATACTTTGACTATCCTGATTATACTATAGGCGATATAAGTGATTATCCTACACACTGTTTAGTGTTTAATCCAATTGGTTTAATCTACTTCGCTTTGCTCTGTCGTGCAGATATCAATATCAGCTTGTAGATAACAATGATATTTCTCAAAATCAAGGATATCCTATAAATCCGTAACACATACCTTGACTACCCTGGTTATACTATAGGCGTGACCTTTGATTAGTCCATTAGGTAATTTTTCTTCTCGTATTGTGGTTGAACCTTTGTTCTAAAAATAACAATGAATTATCCACTATATGAGGAAATGGTTATATTCCAATTAGAATATATTTGTATTAATCTAATATTACATTTCCAATAAAGAACGACATAGAACTCTATTCCTTAACCCTAATATCTGCAACCTTTTTATAACACTAAGTCGCAGGAAGGGGGTCATTTGGACCATTGCAGGCATTTGGGTTAAACATACGACAAAGTGTTTAATATAGCATTTAAAGGTGATTGTGTCAATCTGGTCTGCTTACGCAGTTCCACTGGTTACGACGTTTTCTAATTAACCCTTTCACCACAAGGGGATTAAATTATAACTTTATTTAAAAAATCAAGAATACCAAAGAGCATTGATTCCAAACATAATTAAAAGCCATTCTAGAACAATTATGGATTCCATTAATCAAAACAAAATGTAAAACCTAGTATGTACGTTTAATTGATATTTTAAACCCACACAATTTGTTGACATTTTTAATGTTTTGAACTCCAGGCTATACATAATGTCCAATCGCCCATGGGTCCATTGAGGATCGGAAACAAACATCTCCTCACAATAGGAACATTAATGATACTAACCGCAATACAGCACCCCATCAGAGATTGTTTTTTAAACATCTTTAAGATCAAGCCATAAAGATTTTCGGGAAGTGTGTCTTCATTTGTGAGGTCCATTATCTCCGTGATACCCCCTGTGAGGTCAACTAGTGCACTTTGGACTTTGCCACCAGATAGCGCTTCATACGAGCCATGAAGCCTAAAAATGTTTGGTCGATAGTGAGTATGAACTCATACAAATCCCATATACATTAGCAACCATCTAGATTCGGAAAGTATGATAATATAGTTCTCCGTTTTCAAATGGATTGTTGATTGACAAAATAGTTACCCATTGTTTTGTCTAACCACGATTACAAAATAGGAATGAGCTTTTTTATGTAGAAAAGATTACAAAACTGATAAAAAATAGTAAATATTAATCGGTAATTTAAGTGTATGTGTTTTAAATACAAAATACGCCTTTATAAAAATCAAAACTGAGTGAGTATCTGATGCATAGAGTAAGATAACAGGAGTTTCAAATCCCAATTTTGTAGTTTATTTACTTTGCATATGCTTTCTCTAATAAAGCACTCCAGAACTCATTCGTCTGTTGGCCGTATGCGTCTCTGTTCTTGCAAAATATCAACCTCCCGCCTCGTGTTGGTAGACGGTCGTCAACTACCACCTCTACCCATTCCCCGTACCTCCAGAAGAAAAAGCGGAAAATTCCTAAAATCAAAATAAACAGTACATCACGGGGAAGGCATTAGATGCTGTTATGTTGCTCCTTCACTTGGGCATCACTTGGCCTCACCTGGGCCAAACAACAACCTACCATGAAGGTTTTGACTACCGTAATAGATACTACAAAAAATGGTATGTTTTGGAGACCATGACATTATAATAACATATCCAATGAAAATAATGTTTAATAGGATTGATAATTGGAAGTATGTGACCAAAAATAAACGTTTCGAAAATGAACATTTAATAAAGCATACTATCGGCAAAATTGTACTTGTCATCTGAAATTGAAAGCCCGTTTCTCTTTCTCCCAGCGTAAACGTTTGTGAAAATTGTGGAGATTATGATGATACAAAAATGTCCACGTAAAATATACCGCACCTGCATACTCATCTTGGAAGCTTTGATTTGGAGGGACGATTTTCTCAATGAGATCTGGATATGTAGCGACCGTCGCTACAGCTGCAATGAACCAACAATCTCCAATTGCTCCCTGGTCCAAGTCACATCTTGTCATTCCACCAACTTGAAACAGAGGCTGGTCGTATATCTCCTGCAATTAAAAGTGAACAAAAATCCAAAAACTAAACAACAACAAAGCTTAAAACTGGATAGGAGGTCTTAACATTTACAGGCCACCTTCAGGTAACAGTAAATCGCAAGGGCCGTCTGTTTTTGGTCCTGGAGGTTCATATTATCATCTGCTATCTTGTAACTACTTTTTATGTATTGTAATGTTATGCAATTTCTGTGTATTATTACGTACCATCTTTTAATCAATACATTATTATATTATGTGACTTCTATTGTAAATGTATGATTTTAGTTTGTACAATTAACTATTGACCAATAATAAATCAAGTTGCGTTTATTAATTATATTTGGCATAATCGGGGGATATTTTTTAATGAAACAGTACTCTATTGGTGCATCTAAAGCTAGCTATCTATTTATGGCAAAATCAATACATTTGCAAAAAAATATGCAAAAATATATGTTTTGCAAAAGTCTAATATTTTCGAAGTTTGAGATTTGTTTTCAACTCATTGTTGTGATTTATATGGTCAAGGGTAAAGTTTGGTTTTAGTTGGCGATGATAATCCTTGACTATATGTACGCTATACTTGTAAGTTTACAATTATGATTGTTCCTCTTTTACATATACACACCTCATCAAACTATGTTTCGCCACTTTCAGATACGTTGAGCGTAAAGACACATAAAAACGTTCTTCCCCAAGTTACACCCACATCAGTGCGTGTAGGTGTAAAGGGGTTGTTTGTGTATAATAACTACAGGTATTGATAAATTAAGAGTTGATCGATAATATTTACACTATTTCAATGAACATACTTTGTAAACATGAAATACACGACTAAATAATATACAGAAAGTTTGTCCTTGTGATCTCGCATCACTTTTACAGCAATTAAGATAACGATTCGATTGTTATGAGCCTTTTTAAGTAGACCGGTCATGTTTTGTACAGGTACTGTGCTGGTCACAATGTCCAATTTTGCAAAAAAAAAGTTTATCAATACCAAAACTGCCTTGTCGAAAAGAATAGTGAATCCTCTAAATAGTGAACATTTCATCTGGCAATGTAAATCGTCAACCATTTTTATCTAACCATTAGAAGTTATTGTACCGTGTAAAAGCGAAAATTGAAAATTTGGATTATCAACGAGGAAGGTTAAACGAATTGTTCAACAGAAAGTTGAACTCCGCTGGTGTAACAATTATTGGTGAAAATGAATAAGTAAAATATTCTATGAAGATCCATGAACAAAATCTCTATGGTAACATGGGAAGTGGTTCCTGAATCTCAATTTATCATTGTGCAACTCAAAACAAAATATGGTCGCCAAATCCAATTCTTCGATTATAAGAGCCAGAGTATATCTATATGCTATATACTACTCTGAAATGGCAGTGAACAAATGGCAACATTCGAAAACACAAACTACAAATAGTCCTAAAATCGAAAGCATAATGCAACTTTAACATCCGATCATTCTTGGCCCAAACGTCCCAACAACTAGGATACTTCACTCTGGGTCATATCTAATGCAACATGGACAGATGTGTTTTCCAATAAACCTTACCCCAAGATCAAAGATCTAGGATATTTTTGCCAATATTATGTTGTCATATAGGTTATGCGTAGCAATGTTTTGAAATACAATTCGGACATTTTTTCAAATTAGCTGGTAAATTCTATTTTTTCTTAGGAACATTGCTACCTACAACCAATGGCATCATCGATCTAGCCTAGCTTCGTTGGGTTTGGGAGATGTGGTAGGGCCTATTGGAAATACCTAGTTGCCCGTGTAAAGGACAGACACAATATACATTTTCAATAATCTTTGCCACATTTCAGAAGTCAAGGAAGCTATGATATATTAGTTAGGTTTGATGTTGATGTCACAGGTTGTAAGTAGCAATTTGTCCAAGCAAAAAATGCCTAAGCTATTGCTAATTTTGAATAAGTACAACCAATGACATCATTAATATAGCCAGTATTTCACAGCTTCCTTAATCAGGGGCGGATCTGGAAACCAACAAGGGGGGGGGGCAAATTTCAGGTCAGAGGAAAAAAAATTTGGGCCCATAAAACCCCAAAGTGGGCCCAAATTTTGAGGCCCATTTTCTTCAAAATTTGGCCTGAAATTCAAAAATAAGGCCTAAAAAGGCCCAGTAATGACCAAAAAGGCCCACTTTTTGGAGCCTGAAGGCCTTTTTTGGCTCAAAAAATTTTTGAGCCCACCCAAGGGCCACCAGCCCCCCCCCCCCCCCCTAATCCGCCAGTGTTAATTTACCAAATGTGGCAAACTATTGGCAGCGCAATGTATTTACTGCGCTGCGAAACTACTCACGGTTGGACGTTTCCAAATTGTGCCTCTGGCAGGTGCCTTGCTGTAAAATATGGAACTGTCTATAGCAGGGAATTCATGGTCCTCGAAGAGCCTGTTTTCTTTTAAGCATTTCTCCTTCGCAGATTTATAGTCGATTCTTGTAGTCCTTTTAAACATATTTTATGGAATTTAAACCGTAACCTGTTTCGAACTCTGGGGTTAAATGTTAAAGTTATCGCGCAAATAATGTTGAAATTACTGTAAGTTTCGATCCTGCAATTAAAAACGTATCGCTGAGTAATAAAAGTTACCTAGTGTGAAGTTTAATTATATACACCAGTACTAAAAAATATTTATGTATTATGACAGAATAATGCAGCGTTTGACTTTTGATAAGGTCATATCGACCTCTAAAAGTTTCACACACTCCAATCCTTTTGAACTGTCCTTAGAATATTAACAATAGTGAACAAAGTATTTCAAGAATATCTGAATCATTTCCACTTTACTGAGAACCTTGATTGTCATCTAGTTCACGTATAATATAAAAAAGGATTAACCTAGTCGACGTGTTTTGATGTTTAACAGACCACTACTTGAAATACATACATAAGTAAACGTTGACAAATCAGAAGACCTTGGAGTTTTGACTTGAATTTTTTCATGTCGATTGGTATAGATATTTGTTCAATGTACACTTGTGATTGAAGAGGTCTACGTATATACGATACACAGTAACCCTGGTAAAGAGTAAGTGTGGCATTGGTAATAACTAACGAGTGGTAAAGGTTTGTTTGGTTAAAACGTCACGCGATCTATAGTATTCGTGTGACATGATTTTTATCTTATATACCACATGCATACACTATTACACTTTCTGTTTTTGAAACCTTCACGAAAAGGTTTTCATGTAAAAGAAAACGTAAAAATTCACCTAAATTCAGGAAGAATGATGTCCTAGTTTCATTTTATTTGTTTATTCAATGTAACATCGAAATAAGATGACCAATGAAGAAATATTAACCAACAACGCACTTTAGATATCTTCTGAATACAATATTATGTAAAATGGTTCTTCCGCACCAAAATGTTCAATTAAAAAAATGGTATTGAATCAGAAGGATTTAGATTTTAAAATATTGGAAGCATTCTTTTTAAAAACATTCAAATATTTTCCTGACAACCGTACCTACTTTCATTTTCTGGAAAGGATTAAGGAATTGTGATATATGATTAATCTTATAAAAGTTATACTAGTATTATTGAAAATTTAGATATAGAAATGTTCAAAACATTTTTCAGAGAGGAAGTGTATAGGAGCACAAATGGAAAGCTCAAATTTCGTTCAATTCTGACAGTTGGTTCTTCTGTTTTGATTTCCTCAATATATTTTCCACATATCAAAATATCTAGGATAATATTATGCAAATAGTGACTACCATTGAGGTTTTACCATTAAAATGTGACAAAAATTAATAAACTTATCAGTATCTCCCATGAAGGAATCGAAGATTTTAAGATGCGATCTAGAGGGATAAACGATTTATATCACACGCAATATAACCTTTAGTACGCTTAGTACTCTGACGTCACATATCGTAGTACACAGAAGTCACCCAGAAAGATGACAAGAGACAATAACAGGATTAGTGTATATCACCATGAGTCCAGTAACGTTCAAATCGAGGACTAATCGAAGAAATATCACCTGTTGAGGCAACCTTTTACTTTATACTCCGTTCATACTAGTCTAGCTTTAAGACGGTGGACCCCCTTATCTACTCCTCCAACACACTGACGAAAGGAAGATGGGGGGGGGTCCAGGGTCTTGATGAAAGACTATTATACATGCAGGGACAAATATAATGACAAACAATGCTGACACCATGTAGTGGAAAACAGGAATAAAACATAATACAATAGTGGAAATATTTCAAAAATGGCATGACGACGCTGTATGTGCGACCCAAAGTGACACTACATGTTGCAGCACAATCACCTCAAATAATTCACATTACAGTATATCATCTAGAATGTACACGTATACACTAACACAGATATATTAAGATGAAAATCTTAAAAATTGATGAGTGAAAAGGCAAAAAGAATCAAGTTTTGTATCTAAAGTCGGAATGCATTTTTCCTTACTCGAAGGCAGACCCCTGATGGTTAACAGGAGTTTCTATTCCACAACGCCACGAGAAAAGGAAAAGTCCCTTCTTTAAAGGTAACTGGTCAACTCGTACCCAAGACAACTCGTACCCAAGTCAAGTCGTACCCAAGACAACTCGTACCCAAGACAACTCGTACCCAAGTATATGTTTTGTTTTGAATCAAGTGTTGGGCTGGGAATGGGTATAGATATAGATATTATAATGGTTACATACAGTTCAGAATAGTTTGAAGTATGTAGAAGAGTTTTTGGAAGAAATCGATTGAAATTTGTGACCAAATATATTGGTCACAGATTCAGATGTTCGAGGGAAGAGATTTATGTTTATTCCACATATTCATAATCATTGTTCACAATATTAGTGGTATTTTTGTATGTAAATGAGTGGTTGGAACAAGTATCAGATCTAATTCATCTTGAAATATGGTATTATCAAAAATATAAAGATTTTCAAAACTTGCGCCTATTTCTTATTCAACAGATACTCTATTTAGGATTTCATATTATCAGATTAAAGAATGATAATTCTAAGAAGTCACCTTCATAAAATTAAGCATTAAAAATATTCTAAATAATATGAATATCAAATATTATTTTGATACTTATTCATACATGATATAATACACTTTGCATGCATGTGTTCAAATATAATCCAATTAAGTTCAAAATGGAAAAGAAATTAACAGATTAAAGTTCCCTTATTTATTTTCTCTGAATGCACTAAGCTAAATTAATTGTTTGATTCATTTGTTGAAAAGTTACTGTTGTAATTATATTCATTTATATATAATATGTATTACAAAAAAAGTTGAGAATAAGCCCTTCAAAGCACTTCAAAGGTAATCCAAGTTAATAATCCATTGAGAAAAAATGTCTTCTAAATTCAGAAAAAATATTGAGGCACATTATAACATTAAACATTTTGACACAGACTCAATTTGTTTTCTTATATGCACACATAATACAGAAAATAAACGTGGGTACGAGTTGTCTTGGGTACCAGTTGACTTGGGTACGAGTTGTCTTGGGTACGAGTTGTCTTGGGTACGAGTTAACTAGGAAGCTCTTTAAAACGACACCAACACAAAATTCCCCTTTTTATATTATCGCAAACGGAGAACAATTTTAACAATATTGTCTGTTTATAATTTGCTCCTTATTTAAAAAAATATTTATTCTTCACACATAACCTACAAATCTGCAAATATGTTGAGAGGGAGGTAAGGGGGAGGTTAAGGGGGATGTTAAGCTCCGCGTTTTTATGAGAACTTGTACGTGAACGTAGAATTGTGGTCCTATAATACTTGCGCCGAAATTTGGGCCCTCAAAACCAAAAATTTGCCTCAAACTTTTAAAAGTAAGGCGGGACCCAATGGCCTCCCCAGGATCCGCCACTGGAAGGTGTAAGGAAAACGTTGTAACTAGATAAAAAACAACTGAGAGTGAGACAGTAATCCACGGGGTCATTATCCATTATACAATGTATATTACAAGTTACGTACAAATTCTCTTAAAACGTGTAGCTTAACCCCCCTACTGCCGATTTAAAAGTTACAGCATTACGTTCTAATCAGACTTGTTCAATTAATCCAGATGAATCAACGTTACTGGGTGTGATTACAAATTAACATGGAGGTTGTCCGGTAAGTCGATAATTATACATCTCTCCTATTGTTTTGTGAAGACTAATATCTTGTTGTTGGCTGGCATATCAACCTGTAACATACATGTACAAATGTTATGAACTGTTACCTCATGTAGGAAACTATAATTTTGGTTAATTTGTGTAAGCATATCGCATCATGTGACACTTTATTTGGGAATGTCTGCATATAATGTCAGTAGAGGTTTCGCACAAGTGATAGCTAAAACGTGTCCACAATCGCATCTCGATTTATTGAACTGCTGGAGAATGCAAACAAGTGTTTGATGTGCTTTCTAAAACAATATAGATGAATATATTTTTTTTTCAAATTATATTATTACCATTCAAAAGATGATCATTAAATTGACGATGTGTAAATTTTTTAGATTTTTTTTTATCACTCAGTAGGAGGACACATTGCCTTAACCCATCAGTTTTATGACGTGCACATCCGCGTGGGACTATATCTTTACAGCGGGAATTTCAAGTTTTTGTCAGTGCAGACATAGAAAGTTGCGGTTCTCATACGCGCGCGTTTTTTAATATTTTCATTTGAAACTTGCAGGAACGGTGCTTTGAATCTAGCTCTCTACTCTTTGAAAACGTCATGTATAATCAATACAGTTGAACTATTTATTTTTTGTCGTGAAAATATTATTTTTTTAGTTTATTTTTATTTTACAACTTTTTGGGAAAAAATGTAACAAATTTTTATTTCTCGTCATATTTATCCGATATTTTGTCATCATGAAATTCGAGATTCTTTTTAATGATGGTGCAAATTTCATAACAATTGATGAATTTTTATTATCAGTGTTATGTTTTCCAAAAACGGTGTACCACTGTGCATGTTTCTTTAATTGACGGCACATTTGCCTTTAATTGGGCGAACGTACAGGTCCCGACGCAATAAGCTTTATTTGATTTAATACACTCAAAAATAAAGTTTGCTATCAAATCGGAATGTTCATAAAACATAAACCTTGCCTTTGTTTTCCCAATTCTAAAAGCAGGCCAAATAAACTATGATAATTGTTTGACTCTCGAGACTACAGAACTTGAACATACTAAAATCGAAGTTACCTATAGTTACGCTTGAAAAGTTAATTACATGTTTAACGGCCTGCTGAGTGAATGTATCTAATCGAATTTGTGACATACCCATAAGATCGTAGATCACAATTCTAAGTTTAAAATGTATTTTGGATTCGTAAGAAGTATTTCTGTTTTAAACTTACCTTTGCTGTCTGAAAAAGATCAATATTCATAGACGGGGATGTTGAAACCTATATTTCCTTTGAATGACCTGCATTTGTACTACGAAATGATCCTGTGGAAAAAAGTTGATAAATTCCAATAATTGAACAGCTAGTTTTAGCAAATCTACTAGTATAAGCTTACTTTCTAAAAGTATTTCAATGTTAAAAATATCTATTCAAATGTTTCAGTTTTAAAATGATCTTGGCTTTCCTTAACTTAAATGTATGACTAATGAAGAATGCTTTTTACCACATCAAACTTAAGACGTGAACTTGACAATTACTCGATACATGTTATAACGCGATTTTCTTTCATTTTCTACAAAAATGGTATGTTTTCGAACGGTCACTTATGTTAATCTATGACCGTGGTATGATTGAAAATGAAAGAACTGAACCAAGTATTGTCGACTTGTTTGAATTATAAGATTTATTTTGATTGATTTAATCTCTTCTTGAATTTTAAAACTTTTGTCCGAATTACATCTGCTATGGAATTAAAGTTCAAATATACCTCAGAATTGCTTATTGAATTAACCTAGCAACTAATTTGAAAATAATTCTTTACATAGGTTATATGTCATAGATCATAGATATGTAAAAAATAAAAATGTGTTTTGAAAGATGAATTGATAACAAACGTTTTCGCACAGGTGCCATTTCCACTTTCAGCCCGTTTAAAGCACGAAATCCCGTATGACGTAATATAACGAAAATGCGCAGATAATTGATATTTTTTATTTTAATTCAATTCACATTGACCGTTCAGTTATGAACGTGTTTAAAGTTCTCATGTTAAAATAAATAAATATGTGGAAAGGCAATGGTTTAAAGCTTAAGAAAATGTCAAAATCATAATTCAGTTTTTAAAATAAGATATTGACATGCATTCACGCACATGTGACATTATCTCTTTTTGTGCGATTCAAACATAAAAATCTCATTACAGTTGTACATAAGAACCAATCTTAGCCATGCCTTTCTAATAGAAGGAACTAAAGTTGAATCAAAAAATAATTCTGTGTAAAGATGATTCCCCATAGATATAATAAATGTCAAAAATGTCAAAAAAAATTTCAAAAATAAATACTCACACGCTTTTAAGCACGCATGACCTTTTCCAGTTTTGCTCATTTAATTTACCTTGAAAACCAAGGAGACCGAACGCAATTTCTAAACAAGGCATTAACATGACAAAATGTCACCACCTAAAACAATTTGGTCAATTTAAAGCAAGTTGAAAAAATACCTCTTTGACTTTTTTTTGACATTGAGAATGTCATTGAAGGTCAAATGTCAAATGTAAAGTCAGATTTGAACTTCTGAGAACATGTAGATGATTTTGAAAAAAAAATTAAGTAAATTTGAAGCAAGTTGAAAAAAGACCTTTTTGACCTTGAAAAGGTCATTGAAGGTCAAATGTCAAATCTAAAGTCAGATTTGAACTTCTGAGAACATGTAGATGATTTTGAAAAAAAATAGTCAATTTGAAGCAAGTTGAAAAAAGACCTTTTTGACCTTGAGAAGGTCATTGAAGGTCAAAGGTCAAATCTAAAGTCAGATTTGAACTTCTGAGAACTTGTAAAGTCAAATTTGAACTTCTGAAAAGATGTAGATGATTTTGAAAAAAAAATTTGGTCAATTTGAAGCAAGTTGAAAACAGACCTTTTTGACCTTTTTTGACCTTGAGAAGGTCATCAAAGGTCAAATGTCAAATCTAAAGTCAGATTTGAATTTCTGAGAACATGTAGATGATTTTGAAAAAAAAAATTAGTCAATTTGAAGCAAGTTGAAAAAAGACCTTTTTGACCTTTTTTGAACTTGAGAAGGTCATTGAAGGTCAAATGTCAAATCTAAAGTCATGATTTTGAAAAAAAAATTAAGTAAATTTGAAGCAAGTTGAAAAAAGACCTTTTTGACCTTGAAAAGGTCATTGAAGGTCAAATGTCAAATCTAAAGTCAGATTTGAACTTCTGAGAACATGTAGATGATTTTGAAAAAAAAATAGTCAATTTGAAGCAAGTTGAAAAAAGACCTTTTTGACCTTGAGAAGGTCATTGAAGGTCAAAGGTCAAATCTAAAGTCAGATTTGAACTTCTGAGAACTTGTAAAGTCAAATTTGAACTTCTGAAAAGATGTAGATGATTTTGAAAAAAAAATTTGGTCAATTTGAAGCAAGATGAAAAAATACCTTTTTGACCTTTTTTGACATTGAGAAGGTCATTGAAGGTCAAATGTCAAATCTAAAGTCAGATTTGAATTTCTGAGAACATGTAGATGATTTTGAAAAAAAAATTTAGTCAATTTGAAGCAAGTTGAAAAAAGACCTTTTTGACCTTGAGAAGGTCATTGAAGGTCAAAGGTCAAATCTAAAGTCAGATTTGAACTTCTGAGAACTTGTAAAGTCAAATTTGAACTTTTGAAAAGATGTAGATGATTTTGAAAAAAAAATTTGGTCAATTTGAAGCAAGTTGAAAACAGACCTTTTTGACCTTTTTTGACCTTGAGAAGGTCATTAAAGGTCAAATGTCAAATCTAAAGTCAGATTTGAATTTCTGAGAACATGTAGATGATTTTGAAAAAAAATTAGTCAATTTGAAGCAAGTTGAAAAAAGACCTTTTTTGACCTTGAGAAGGTCATTGAAGGTCAAATGTCAAATCTAAAGTCAAATCTAAAGTCATATTTGAATTTCTGAAAACATGTAGATGATTTTGAAAAAAAAATTTAGTCAATTTGAAGCAAGATGAAGAAATACCTTTTTGACCTTTTTTGACATTGAGAAGGTCATTGAAGGTCAAATGTCAAATCTAAAGTCAGATTTGAATTTCTGAGAACATGTAGATGATTTTGAAAAAAAAATTTAGTCAATTTGAAGCAAGTTGAAAAAAGACCTTTTTGACCTTTTTTGACTTTGAGAAGGTCATTGAAGGTCAAATGTCAAATCTAAAGTCAAATCTAAAGTCAGATTTGAATTTCTGAGAACATGTAGATGATTTTGAAAAAAAATTTTAGTCAATTTGAAGCAAGATGAAAAAATACCTTTTTGACCTTTTTTGACCTTGAGAAGGTCATTGAAGGTCAAATGTCAAATCTTAAGTCAAATCTTAAGTCAGATTTGAATTTCTGAGAACACGTAGATGATTTTGAAAAAAATTTTAGTCAATTTGAAGCAAGTTGAAAACAGACCTTTTTGACCTTTTTTTACCTTGAGAAGGTCATTGAAGGTCAAATGTCCAATCTAAAGTTAGATTTGAAGGTCAAATGTCAAATCTAAAGTCAGATTTGAATTTCTGAGAACATGTAGATGATTTTGAAAAAAAATTTAGTCAATGTGAAGCAAGTTGAAAAAAGACCTTTTTGACCTTGAGAAGGTCATTGAAGGTCAAATGTCAAATCTAAAGTCAGATTTGAACTTCTGAGAACATGTAGATGATTTAGAAAAAAATTGAAGTCAATCTAAACAGTATTTGTTAAGTTATAGGAAGTTGTAAGAAATTGTTACAGACGCCGGACGCCGGACGCCAACCTCCAACCGCCAACCACCGTCGCAAAAAAACGGAGACCATAACAATATGTCACCACTTTTGGTGGTGACATAATACAACCTTGATACGTGTACCAGGTCTATAATTGCATTCTCTCATGGAAGGAACCAAGCAAAAATTATAAAAATAATTCTGCGTATAGGTGATGCTTCACAAATAATATTAATATCAAAAAATTAATTCATTTCTTCAAAATTAGATACTGACACGCATTTACGCACACATGACCTTTTCCAGTTTTGCATATTTCATTTACCTTGAAAACCAATGAGACTGGACGCAAAATTGCCAAATACTTCTTTGATACGCGTGCCAGGACTATAATTGCATTTTTTCATGGAAGGAATCAAGTAAAAATTATAAAAATAATTCTATGTTAAGGTGATGCTTCACAAATAATATTAATGTCAAAAATTAATTCATTTCTTCAAAAATTAAATACTGACACGCATTTACGCACACATGACCTTTTCCAGCTTTGCTTATTTCATCTACCTTGAAAACCAATGAGACTGGACGCAATTGCCAAATACTTCTTTGATACACGTGCCAGGTCTATAATTGCATTTTTTCATGGAAGGAATCAAGCAAAAATTATAAAAATAATTCTATGTTAAGGTGATGCTTCACAAATAATATTAATGTCAAAAAATTAATTCATTTCTTCAAAATTAAATACTGACACGCATTTACGCAAACATGACCTTTTCCAGTTTTGCTTATTTCATTTACCGTGAAAACCAATGAGACTGGACGCAATTGCCAAATACTATGGTTGGCCTATTAGTATAAAGAATGCATGCGTTGTTTACGGGTGTGTAGGCGTTAATTACGCTCGTGTAGATGTAAAATTACGCCCGTGCTGACGAAAAATTACGCCTGTGTAGGCGTAAATTACGCCCGTGAAGAAGTAAATTCTACGGGCGTTCAGAATACATTTACAGGCGTGAACTTACGGCTTTAAAATTATTAATTACGGGCGTTAAGACTGTTATTTTACACGCGCTGAGAAACATCTTCACGCCCGTCGAGTTCATTTTAGCGCCGTGAATTATGAACCAATCAGCATCTTGCTTACATGATGATACGATGCATTATAGCTAAAAGTACAACTCCAAGATCCTTGTGCAAGTTAATAACATACTCATGATTGTGCCAGGAACAACTGTTGCAATTGGAGGCATATGAAATATTATTTCTTTTCTGGGTATCTCGGTGCACTATTTGTGCAAATGTGAAAGATTTACATCGTATATTAAATGAGTTATGTATTCCTGGAAATAACATGTGACATATAAAGACGGCTGCATAAAGATTCCAAAAAGTACACATCTCCCTAACACCAAATTTGAACATATGTTGGCTAGGTATACTAGGTATATAGGCTCATTTGACATTTTCAGTACATTTTCAAAGAATGCCAAATGCCAAATGCTAGATCTGCAGGATATAGTCTAGAGTCAATTTGCAGTTGATCAGATACTATAATTCTAGTATCTGGACACATCCTTTAGAGGGATACATTAGCGATCTGACTGTATAATGAGACTGTAAGCTGCAATGCGTGTGAGCTTAATAAGTCCCTACCTAGCCTACCTCTGAAGCCGACGCCTAGATTGGAGAATTATCCAAAAATCATCGTATTTAGAAACCAAACATGTATACCTTCTCAAAATACTCTGCAATTTTGTCGTTTCTACAATGGGTGTTGATAACTGCCAACACAGTACATGTCTCTTCAATTTGCCTTTTAATATAATTTGCTCTAAAAAATGAATACTTCTTTGGTTAAATCTAGTTCAATCTTGAACGAATATTTAAGGACCTCAATGCAATACACTAAAATGTAAGCAGGCTTCTGATTGTTGTTTACTAGCGCAAGTATCTCGGAGTTGCTCTTTTAGCAAGGATGCATTAAATCATCATGTAAGTAAGGTTCTGATTGGTTCATAATTTACGGCGCTAAAAATAAACTCCACGGGCGTGAAGATGTTTCTCAGCGCGTGTAAAATAACAGTCTTAACGCCCATAATTAATAATTTTAACGCCGTAAGTTCACGCCTGTAAATGTATTCTGAACGCCCGTAGAATTTACTTCTTCACGGGCGTTATTTACGCCTACACAGGCGTAATTTTTCGTCAGCACGGGCGTAATTTTACATCTACACGAGCGTAATTAACGCCTACACACCCGTAAACAACGCATGCATTCTTTATACTAATAGGCCAACCATAAATACTTCTTTGATACGCGTGCCAGGTCTATAATTGCATTTTCTCATGGAAGGAATCAAGCAAAAATTATAAAAATAATTCAATGTTAAGGTGATGCTTCACAAATAATATTAATGTCAAAACTTTAATTCATTTCTTCAAATCCAAATACTGACACGCTTTTGCGCACACGTGACCTTTTCTTCTTTTGCTCATTTCTTTTATCCTAAAAATCAGTGGTATTCATTTTCCGATACTTCTTTAAAACGTGTCAGGTCTAAAATTGCAGTTTATCATGAAAGAAATCGAACAATTATTATAAAAATAATTATGTGTAAAGGTGATGTTCTTCAGATTATATAAACATCAAAATTGTAATTCATTTATTGAAAGTTAAATATCCACATGCTTTTAGGCACACATAACCTTTTCCCTTTCGTTCATTTTATCTATGTTTAAAATCAGTGAGCCTGAACTCATTGCTAAATACTTTTTGATACGAGTCAGCTCCAGGTCTAAAATTGCATTTCATCATGGAACAAATCGAGCAATCATTATGAAAATAATTCTGTGTAAAGGTGATGTTCCAAAGACAATATATATGTCAATTTGATAATTCAGTTACTCAAAATGAAATATCCACATGATTTTACGCACACATGATAATTTCCTGAATGACGCTACTTTTTGGATTCAACCATGCATATAACGTCGTAAAATACACATTTCTACCAAAATTATGCCCAGCCGTTTTCGTAGAAAATGTAAAGGAAGGCATTTTATCGGAAATGATTGATATTTGGTACTTATAAAATATCGTATTTACTTTAACTTTTAAGCGATTCAGACATTTAAAAAAATTATGTTTAATCAATGTTAATTTCGCACGAATATAGGGTACAAAATGAGTGAAAGTCTCACGTGTTTGATTGCATTTTACTCCCATTTATGTGCACTTTTCTAACATTAAAATGAGATAGTTGGAAAGAAGAGATCAGTAGAATTCTATCCGTCATTTTCATTTTCAAATGTTTAAATGTTTCCCGTTTCATTGGACCTCATAAAGATGGTAGCCAACGGACCAGAAACAAGTAGTGCGATGACGTCATATATCGCTACACCACTTTGATATAAAGTTTGGTAAACAACAATGGGTTTTTTCAATGTGTCGTCCTACTGACTGGTTTAAGAGAAACGTTTGTTCAAAAAGTTCTCCATATCGATACCACTCCTTTAGATGCGTTGGACTTAACAATTTGTGCGAAAGCTCTATAATATTAGTTTCACCGTATAACATCTAATATGACATATTACCGTGTAGGAACTGACACCTATCCAGACCTAAAATTAGCATGACTTATAGGCCGAACTAGGTAACCATGTATGCAGGAACCTACCATTTTGATAAACTGCAATGAATTTTCTACTGCTAGGTTTTGTAGGTCAACTGTATCCCGTATACCCCAATCTGGATTCCTGTATGCAATTGGAATAAATGAAAGTGCATACGTTACAATTGTGTAAAATGGGCTCTGAGTTATCTCAGATTGATATGCATGGTTATCTATAAGCATGTATATAAGCATCTTAAATCTATAACTCCCGAAGGCTATGTCTTGACATTCATTTTTTTCCTATAGGAGTATATTTAATTTAAAATACAAGAGGGCATACATTTTAATAGCCAAACCGGAAGCAATCCCGGCCCGCATATTATACGAACGTTTTGCGTTCAAAATATTAATACTAAATTGTATTTTCGATACGATACTGCACTGTGGTGTTTTGATTACTCATTACGGTGTATTTAGGTGCTATTGACGTACGACTTACTGAGATTTTAAGGTAGAATCAAACCGAACATTACTCTCAGGTTCCAGCACTCCATTCACCCTGTAGGGCTGTAACATAATATGGATAAGATATACGACAATGCAAACGTGTATCCACCCGTGGAAAGGGAAAAAGACCAAATGTATTTCAAAACAGAACAAGAAAAACATCAAAGCATAATCCCCAAATAACAAGACTAAACACTAACTTTATTACAAAATGTCTAACACTCCTTTTTATTTTAATACATGCAATTATACATGTGTTTTGTTTTATACTTGAAATACAATTATCATTAAGGTTCATTAACTGTATCAATATGCTCGTGTTCTTAATATAATCTTACAACCCCATTGATTTAGCTGTATATAATCACAAACAAAGAAGATGTCTGTTTTTTAAATGGAGTATTTTATTTCTACATGAACTGAATCATACTCACCCCATATGTGAACAATTGACCACCAGGCTTTAGTAAATAGTTAACTGCTTTGAATAAACCCTACAAAGGAAATATTACACAGTAAAGTATTTTTTAGTTTACATATTTCATTTCATATTACACACACATTATGAAATAACATAGTTAAATAGACCTTTCCGCTAAATTCTGCCACATTTTGTTACATGGAAGAAGCTGTGATATATTGGCTAGATTGATGGTGTCATTGGATGTAGGTGACAATTTGTCCAATCGAAAATAGGATTAACTTAGACCCAATGGATTAACGTATTGATAATGATTAAAAGTACAACCAATAACATCACCAATATTACCAAAATATCTGAGGTTCTTTGATATACCAAAGGGTGGTAGGATTTATGGGGAAATTCCACTGGTCAAACATGTGAGATAAAAGGAACACACAGAGATGTCATTATCAAATGTTATATGCTGATTCCTAGAGATAAACAGAGAGCTCTGCTAACTAAAGCTTTTTCAAGATGACAGCTGAATTTCAAAATGGCTCTGTTCAAATGAACTTTTCAAAATTGCCACTGTTTATCAAAATATGTTTTGTTCGGTGGGATTAGCTATTCCGTGGAGTTGCTGCTTTCTAGTTTCTATAAGAAGAATAACATCGATACCTTAGTTACTGCCCATTCGGATATGTGGATCATATTGATATTGATGATAAAATCAAATGATCCTGGTTTCAATGTTCCCTCTGCCCATTGCTCTGGAGGGTATGATGCATCTATGTAAACTGGTGGCAAAACATTATTGAGCCTCCCTGCAGCGACATACCCTGATATACTGAAAATACAGATGTGTAAATGAAAACCAATTGGACAGTAAAACGTACGTGTATATCCGAACATCCTGTATATCACAGGACTTTCTTCCCTTGTCTTCATATTCACCTGAATGTGTTACAAAAGTATGAAAGTCTGTATTAGCTTATATGTATGTGTAACTATTTTGTGTTTCGAATTCCATGTAGTGTCAATATGCAATGGCCTTCACCTTTTTAATGATGCCTGGTCACATTCTGAAGGTTGCCATGTGACATCTGGCAAATGTTCGGCAAAGTGTGCTGTGTGCTGACCAGTCCCTGGAACATAGGAACACAAAATGTTTGTCAATAATATTTGATGATAGATATGCACATCAAAAAAAGCATTCAAAAAGTCATTCAAAGTTAGATATGTTCAACGTCCCTTCTCTACTCTGATTAAAACACGTTTTTTTATAACTAAGCAATAACGTGTAACGCGACCCATAATATAAGGATTACTCTTCCTCTCTTGGTTTGGCCAGCTGGCCTATATATTTTTCTTTTATGCTTTTATACTCAACCGGGCATGTAAATAGTACAAAGAGGAGCAGTCATCGAGGTCCATAATTCTACACATTTACATAGTGAACATTTAACCATGTCAGTTTTTTAACTCCGATTCTCATGCATAGAATTCGACACCTTGAATGCCACGTACGGATCGGTTGCAAAACTATCCAAGGAACTTTGCGAAATGGTCCACACGGTCACACGGTCACATTTATCCAGCGTTACTTATACCTGAAGCAACTTCTAGTGCAGTCAGTTTTCCATCACACGTAGGAATGTGTTCTTTCAGGACTTTAAGTATGACATCTTTGTTCCTTTCTGCGGCTGGTGCCCTCATCATATGAACCATTCTTCCTCTTGCGCCGGACATTGTTGAAACCCTAGTAAGATAGCGAAATTAAATACATGTAGACACGAGGATATAATACATGTAAAGTCTAGACACAGGGCACGGGGGCGGGGCAAGAAGATATACTCGATCATTCTCAAGGGTTTTTAACGTTGACAGCAATTCTCAAATGATTTCCAGAATGATCAGAACGGTCGGAAGACACGTAAAGAAATTCGTGGGCACAAACGCCAGGAACACGCTAGAGGTAAAAGTATGAGTCTGGGAATGAGTCTGGGTATGGACTTAGAAAATATTGAAAATTGTTATGTCTGAAAAACCAACTCAATCAATAGTCTTATCCTTCTTCTGAGATTACAAAAATATCAATTTGTATCGCAATTGATGAAGAATATTGGCATCAAAGACAGTGCATATCACTTTGTCAGAATTGAAAAAAAATCATTGGCAAATTAAATGAATTATTTATGCAAAAAGTTTGAAATGTATCTTCCAAAACATTGGTTACTTTCTTTGTGTAGACATTGAATGGTATTTCTTGATAAGTGAAATTGGTGTATATCTGGGTAATCAAGGGATTATAGTCACTCAAAGTTACTGAGCATCCAGTTTTGAGACTTCAATTGTGTTGGTCGGATGTTTCACATATTTCAGTCAAATTCATGCTGAGCACAACATTTTGGTTTCGATTTAATAATCTCTATACTGACCCTGGTGATGAAGAGTCAGAATCAGTCAAAAAACCTAAACCGGAAAACTGTGCTCATTGTGAAAACTAAAAGTGAAGAAGCAACTTTTTTCTGATATTTCTTACTTCAAATGGCAACCATCTTGTTTTCCCCCATTCAAATTAAACTCGCGGGAAATTCAAAAATTTGAAAAAAGTTTAATCCTTAAATATATTTCAAAAATATGATTTTATTTTTAATTCTTCATGGGTCTTAAGTTATTTCTTCTTTGTATGTCATACATGTTGCCATTGGTGTTTTTTCTATGATAATGACTATTTTTTTTGTTAAGACTTTTTTTGTTATTCTGACTCTCAGCAGGGTGTTAATTATGCATCAAAACTCGTGAAAAAGTAAATATACTTATCAAATATAACTAGGACAGTAATAAAAAACATATTTCACATACATTTGACTGAGGGACCAAAAGGGCATATACCCGGACACATCCTTTAAACTTTCGAATAATGACTGAAATGGATTTTACCAACCCGATGTAAAAAAAGAGTAGGAGGTCCTATCAAATTATGGTCCTACTCTCCACTGATATGTATGGTGACATCTTACCAGTAAATCTTAAGGGTCGTAAGGAAAGGGGACCATAATACCCAGGGGACCATAATTTCTTTTACACCGGGTTTACCAATACTCTCCCACATGAATCTACTTGTTTGAGCTTTGGTCAACTTGAGTTCTGAGGAAAAGGAGGATTTCAAGTTTACTGAATGTCAAAAAGTGTGCACTGCCCGGGAATCGAACCCGGGTCGCAAGAATGGGAATCTTGCATGATACCACTACACCAGCAGTGCTCGGTGTGTCATTATTACGAAATTTAGATTATGTGCTTTTACTAATCAAATTGTAATTTGCTCATGCCAAATCTTCATCAGGGCTTAATATCATTATTTGCGAGTATTACATACAGAACTTGTTAATTACTTCCATTTAATACCGAGAACTTACCCTAATGATCGGCTTTAGACTCATTCGACTGTCACAGTTGTCCGGAAGTTCAATCAGAATAGATGCGCAATGGGGTGCGCAGAAGACAAATATATTTACAGGAATGTACACACTGACAAGAGCTCCAAGTAAACTCGCAGTAAAAGCAAGAAGGGGTATGTTAAAACTCAAATTTCTATGCTAATATCGTTCGATGGTATCTGAAAATCCGTCAGTTGAAAATTAGAGGTGTTTAGCGTTGTTCTAACATGTTTTCTGTATTTTTTTCTGTCCAGGTCCTACGCAGCAGCTAGAAAAGTTGGACACCCGAGATTTTGAAGAAGATCAGCCAGAAACTGTTATGAGGTAAGGTTCAAACAAAGGCGATTCGATCAAAGACCTAAACATACAGATAAATTATCCCAATTTCAATGTCAAAATCACATGCATCTCTGAGAATGTAGTTCTATGTGAGATTACAAAACTTTGTTATGTGATCAAGTTTTGTAAACACATGGTTTTGAAGGTCATGGTTTTGCAAAGGTCATACTGACATAAAGACTGACAGGTCACCAGACCAAATAGGACTCCAAAGGTGAACTTCAGCAAATTTTAGCCACTTATTGTAATATTGAGTCGACATAATATTTCCCCGCAAGATCATCCCCGTACTTTGATCTCGCCAGAACGGTTTGATGCTTAGTTTTGTTAAATCTATTTTTAATCGAGACCCTATCTGTTGCAAGACTAACGCCTGGCGTAACCGCCACCATTTTATTCAGTGTTTTTAAGTAGCGCAAGGATCCTGCCATGACCGTGGTAATGTTATTGTGAAAGCCTGGTATAACCGCAACAATGCTGTATTATATTACAATGCCTGCCATGACCGTGACAATGTAATATACTGTAGTACTGCAAGGCCTGGCATGGCGTGACAATGTTATATAATTCTGCAAGGCCTGGCATGACCGTGACAATGTAATATAGTATTGCAAGTTCAGGTATGAGAGTGGTAATGTAGAAATTTACGATTAGGACTGCTATAACCGTGACAATGTGTATTGCAAAGCCTGGCATGACCGTGGCAATGTAATATAGTACTGCAAGGCCTGGCATGGCCGTGACAATGTAATATAGTATTGCAAGGCTTGGTATGACCGCCGTGGCAATGTGATATAGTATGCCAAGTTCGGGTATGAGAGTGGTAATGTAGAAATTTATGATTGCTATAAGTGACTCTGACAATGTGTTTTTCAAAACCTGGCATGACCGTGACAATGTATTATGGGATCGCAAAGCCTGGTATGACCGTGACAATGTAATATAATAGTATTGCAAGGCCAGGTATGAGGGTTGTGATGTAGAAATTTAGGCTTAGTCCTACTATGACCGTTATAATGTATTGCAATGACTAGTAAATATATGACATTAATGCCAGGAATATCCTTAACAATTTTAAGTGATCGTCATTACAATTAAACAGTTTAATACTATGATCATGGTGTTCAACTACCTTAATCATGTCAAAATCAAAATTACTGCTACATTAATATTCACATTGGCTTATAAACCACAATAAAGGCTATGGTCGCGCCAGGCTTCCATATAACACTTCAAGGGTCATGACAGGCCTTGCAATATAATACAGTGTTGTCACGGTTATACCAGTCTGTCATGGTTATACCAGGCTTACACGATAACACTACCACGGTCATGGCAGGATCCTTGCGCTACTTAAAAACACTGATTAACATGGCGACGGTTGTGGCAGGCGTAAGTCTTGCAATAGATAGCATGTGTTTTAATCCCGTTTGGAGTTTGTTTGTAATGCTCACAAGACTAAAATGGTCTATATGCAAGCTTCTGACAAGAGGGGAAAACCCCAGGGTTCACAAAAGACATTTTTCTATAATGAAAATCCATATTGAGTGGACATCGTTGCTAAATCGGTCAAATCCACAGACATCGATGATGACATCATTCAGTGGCAGTTTCAATTTTCTTATTATGCTTCAAATAATAATATGATGATTTCGGGGGTATTAGCCGATAGCTCATAGCTTATTATTTCACATCAAAATGAAGAAACATGTAACCAACACTCAAACAACGTGTTATATTCACTGGTGATCCACTTGATTATGCTGGATATCGAAACGAACTACCGAAACGGCTCGTTTCGGTAACAAAATGACGGAACGTCGATGACAATTTTTCTTTTTCCTTATTTCGCATGTTGTAGGCAGATTTGCCATGACATTTTTATCACTGATGTGTGTCAGTATCATATGTTTAAAGTCGGGCCTCTCTCCGAAACGCAATCTTAGGTTGTTCCCGGTGTCCCTGGTAATATTTTTTGCTTTAATGAGAAAATATACAATAATGAACAAATGGAGCAAATACTGTGAAGAAATACTCACGATAAAGATGTTAGTTTGACGATTGTTCATTCCATTGCTCATAGGTTCGCCGGTGAACAAATTTCTTCAAAAATTTCTAAATTTAGAATGTCACGTGACTTACTAAAAAGAAGTTTAAATAAATCCCCTTAAATTACTCTCACTCTCGGGTAGCTCAGTGGCAGAGCGCTGGCTTGCCACTCTGACGGTCCGGGTTCGAATCCACTGTCTTTTTTTATTTTTTAAGTTAATGGTTATGCTTTGATTTTACGCTTAAAACGTTTATATCTACGCATGCATGTATCTACGTCAAATTTATATTTAAGCATTTATTGTCTCTTCAGTCGTATGAAAATGGAAAAATAATTTATGTTCACATATTGCTTTTTGGAGAGAGGTATAGGTTTAAGAAAATGTACATATTTGCGAACAAATAGTTCAGAAGGCAGCAGAATCGTTGATTTAATTCCTCACTTAAGTTACATAAACGGTATTTCGAAAAACAGTTAAGATCTGCACTTTTAACCCATATCCTTTATTTAACTTAAGTGAGGAATTGAATCGATGATTCTGTTGCCTTCTGCAGAACTATTTGTTCGCAAATATGTACTTTTTCCTGAACATATGATACTGACACTGTCTTCTGAGCTATATTTTCGCAAGCATGTACATTTTCTAAAATATAAGATACTGATCGCTTGTGAGAAAAATGTCGGGATTCTGCCTACAACGCATGAAATAAGAAAAATCAGACCTTCGACATTCCAACATTTTGTTACTGAAACGAAGCGTTTCGGTAACCAGCGTAATCGAGCGGATCACCAGTGTTTTTCGAAAACTAACCAGCGATAGTTCAGATCCATGAAGGTCATAGGCAAGAAATGTAATTATGTCTTTCATCTTTAAACTCTGGGGTTTTCCCTCCTCGCCTTTTGATTGTTCTTGTTTGGAGTTCCAGCTAACAGTGTAAAGACTCATTTTTTTGCCTTTCGAATCATTTGTCGGCCAAAAACTCTAAAAACCAACAAGGGAGGGGCCCAAATTTCAAGTCTAGAAAAAAAAAATTTGGGCCCTTAAAACCAAATTTTGAATACTTAAGTTCCATTTTGGATAATTTGGCCTTAAAAACGTCCAAAAAGGCCAAATTTTGCCCAAAAAGGCCCTACAAAATTTTTGGGGCCTCAAAATGTTTTTCTGGGCCTACCCAAGGGGGCACGAGGCCCTGCTTAATTATACACAGAAGCATAGCCAGCAAATGTGAAGTGGGTTGCGATTTTTAAAGCCCAAAAAGGGGGGTATGGGGTTCCACCCCCAGAATTTTCTTAAAATTGTGCATTGTATATGGTTCCCATATATACCCATCACACCCCCTGGCTATGTCCATGATACTAGACAATGTAGTAAGGTCGGAACGTAACAAAAGATTATCAACACATATTCACCCCATTATATAAAATGGATTTATTTAATCTTTAGATTTGAATAAATAAGGATATATTCAATAATACCTATTATTATATCACTATCTAGCTAGCGACAGTATGATTGGTCAAAACCGGGTCACATGTCGTGGGATATCTGGTGATATTCAATGGCAATGCTAATCAGATAAGACAACCGTGAGATATCTAGCGATATCCCACGCTCCCGGGAATTTTCAAAGAATTTGTTTTCGTTCAGTGTAAATAATTTAGTTCAGTTTAAGTCAAAATGGCAGACGAACCGAGTAGATTCGTAAAAATATCTGAAGACTTAATGACTTAATAATATTAGGGATGTTTAGCTAGACAGTGATATAATAAAACAAATATTTCACTCTATTTTCGGGCTTCGGGCTTCGTGGAATATCACTTGTGAAAGATGTACAGGTATTCACCTCAATAGAGTGAAATATTTGTTCAGTACGGTAAAGCTTATCATATCAATATATATTTAGGACATACATGTACTCTGCAATACAAGAATCTACTTGAAATTTGTCTAGTAGTTGTTGCTTATAAGCTCATATCAAGAAACCACATACTAAGTATACCTTTCTAAAGTTAGCTTGAACCATGTGCTTCATTTACACATTCTGCACTATTATTAGTAACAGACCTTGAACTATGCCTGGTCATTTCAAGAAAATGGTATGCTGCATTAACGTCATTGGAGCTATTTTAGAAGTTATAATTTGAGGATTATTTCATATTACCAGTGTAGTGCAGCAGCATAAAGGGAAATTGGGTATCTGTGTTGCCTGTTCATTATTCTAAGGCCACAGGAATATACATAGAGGAATATATATATTCTTCCTAGTATAAATCCAATATGCAACTTTACCATCAAATAATTTGCTTGCACCCACCTGGAAATCCATTTGCACCCACTTGAAAATGAGAAAAATCATGAAAAATGGGAAATTTGAACCAATTTTGGTCTAAATTGTGAAAATGAGAATTTTGCCCCACTTGAGAAAAGATCCTGTGGAGAACACTGGGATCCATAGATCTGTAGATATAGCTGTTGTTTCGAAAGATCATTATCACGGGGGTAAAGCAGACCCCATGATGCAATGAGCTTGCTCGGCGGTATCATGACTGTGTAACGGGTCTTAATGTATAAGTGTGCTCGGCGGTAGGTTCAAACAACGCGGATCCTCAAAGCATGTGATCATGGTATATTCGTGTTTTAACA